AATCATCATCAAACTTGGTCAAGATGCTTGTCTATGTGATAGCTTGCATGAGTTCGAACATGGGTCATCTCAGATGAAAAACTAGGTCACTGGAGCTAAAAAAAGAAAAACCTTGTTAACACTCCAGCGGTCACATTTTTGCCTCAATCATCATCAAACTTGGTCAGGATGCTTATCTATTTGAAAGCTCGGATGAGTTCGAACATGGGTTATCTCGGATGAAAAACTAGGTCACAAGAGCTAAAAATAGAAAAACCTTGTTAACACTCTAGCGGTCACAGTTTTGCCTCAATCTTCATCAAACTTGGTCACAATGTTTGTCTAGTTGATAGCTTGGATGAGTTCGAACATTGGTCATCTTGGATGAAAAACTAGTTCACAGGAGCTAAAAATAGAAAAATCTTATTAACACTCTAGTGGCTACTGTTTTGATCCAAATATCCTGTAAATTGGTCTGAAAGTTTGTTTTGATGATTTCTAAGTCAAGTTCGAACATGGGTCATCTTGGATGAAAAACTAGGTCACACCGCCCAAATATTGAAAAACCTTGATAACATTCTAGTGGTCACATTTTCGACTCAATTATCATCAAACTTGGTCAGGATGCTTGTCTAGGTAATTGCTCGGATGAGTTCGAAACCGCATTTGAAACTAGGTCACCGGAGCTAAAAATAGAAAAATCTTGTTAACACTCTAGTTGCTACTGTTTTGATCCAAGTATCCTTGAAATTGGTCTGAAAGTTTGTTTTGATGATTTCTAGGTCAAGTTTGAATATGGGTCACCTGGGTAAAAAACAAGGTCACACTGCTCAAATATGGATAATCCTTGTTAATACTGTAGTGGTCACATTTTTGACTCACCTGTCATGAGACTTGGTCAGAATGCTTGTCTAGGTAATTGTTTGAATGAGTTTGATGGGTCAGGTGAGCGATCTAGGGCCATCATGGCCCTCTTGTTACAAGTTATAAGATAAATGACATCTGAAGATATACATGAAAAATCACGTTTTATAGCAAATTCTTTAGGTATAGTAGTACTTGAAAAATTATTAGTTTCAACAATATTATTACAATGAGTACAACGAGGTCGACAGCATTTAGATACTGAACCAACCATGAATTTGGCTATAAATGAGTATGAACTAAATTATCTTGTAAATTTCTCGGTCTCTTATAAGCAACAATTGGTTTGTATTTGTATAATTTACGTACACTTTCATTTGGAGAAAATTTCAATAGGTTCCAATATTTGTTAATTATTTTACCTATATTAGGTAAAGATGGATTATATGTACACACAAAGGGGATAATATTTTCACGTTCTTCTGATTTGTCTTTTAATTTTAATGTATCCTCCCTCGATAAAGTTGATGCTCTGGTAATTGTGTCTGTAATGATATTTTCTGGATAGTTTCTGGCACGGAAATAACCTCGTAGTTTGTCACAGTCTTTTTCAAATATATGTTGTAATTTGATGTAATTCGTCTGTATCGTTTAGCCTGGCTAAATGGAATACCTTTTTTTTACATGACAAAGGATGACATGACAGAAAAATTCAATATATTGATGGACATTTGTTTTTTTTTTCATGGACACTAGTTTCAATTTCACAGTTATCTTTCTTTTCCAAATTTACGTCAAGAAATGTTGCATTTGTTTTTGAGTAGTTATAAGTAAATTTAATAGTGTTGTGATAGTTGTTAATTTCATTAAAGAATGTAATAAGCTCCTCTTCACTGTGGTCCCAAATGAAAAAAAATATTATCAAGAAATCGCAGCCATATTGAGGGTTTTCTTTCACCAATATCTAAAAAGTCCATTTCAAATTTTCCCATAAATAATGAAGCATAAGATGGTGCTATTTTAGTTCCCATAGCTGTTCCTAAATTTTGTATATAGTTATCATCACCATAATGGAAGTTGTTTTTTGTAAGCACTATTTCAATAAGATGTAAAATGTCTTTAACTGAATGGTGTTGTCCTGTTCTCCGATTAAGGTAGTACTGACATGCTTTGATTCCATCATTATGAGGTATATTACTGTATAAAGATGATACATCCATTGTTACTAAGAATGATTCTGTTGAAATGTATATTAGTATAGACAAATACAACAGTAGGATGTTACACATGGAACTGAAATCTCAAAACTATTTCAAGTTCCGTCATGTCGAAAAACCTCAATGGCGTCCCCTTAATCTATGTTATATTTCAGGCATCCAAAAATTAGACGTGAAATTTGCAGCTGTTGTTGAGGTTACCGGAGCGACGGTGTCTGTAGTGGTAGTTTGTTGTCTAGTTGTTGTATTGTAAGTTTATTAATGAATTGATTTGCAAAAATTGGGACTGCACATTTTTATCACCCTGTGACATTTGTCTAATATACCTATGTACATATTAGTCTTATACAACAATATACATCAGCATAATACAATGTAGTTTAATAATAGTTTTTTAAAAAGTTTTTTCCACAAAAGTATAAGTTATCAGACTCTTTTGCAGAATAAAAAGGCTATTTAAAGCAGAGACGGCACCTAACTAGACAAATATATTAAGCATAATTTATAGTCTTATAGCTTTAGAAATATTCTTTTAAAAGCTTTTATTGTGAAGACAAAAATGTAAAGGAAACGTGGTTGTAAGTAAGAAAATTTGACTGCCTCGAAGTCCTTATACGTCATCTTGTATTATCCAATAAATAACACGAGACAATACAAATATGTTTAATTTATATCATTAAAGAGCATTTTATGGCCGGAGAAAGTATACAGTGTTTAAAGACAGAAACAGGATTGCAACTCCGGTATGGATTTTTAACATATATGTGTAATATTATATATTTTGTAAAGCTAATCTACTCTTCTGCTAGGCATTTGCCGTGTGTTTCAAACCTTTCCTATTGTTTGAAAACCCAAGTTATCAATGGTAAATATTCATGAATGTTTATGTGTTCTAAATATCTAGGAACAAAGCCAGATCACATGGATAGGTATGCCGATATGATAACTTAATTACAGCATTCCATCAAATCAGCTCTAATGTTTACAAGTATTCTAATGATATTTGTTATATGTAAATATAATGTTACCTTATTTGGCCAAGGGATTGATTAAACTTTATGTGTGCGAACTTTTGGCACTGATTAGAAGTAAGGTCCTTTTTTCTAGAATTTTACATAATGTCTTTCTGCATACAGCATTGTTTTACTTGAATAAAGCTATGAGATATGTATTGTATTCAACAATTCCAGGATGAACATAATGACGAGATAGGGACTGACTTTATTGTACTTGAAGGTATCTGTCTACGTTTTATTCTTCCTCGGATCCTCCATGTGTATTCATCTAAATTCATTTATTGTATTGCGTCACACATTATTTAACACTTTTCGTTTATCTTATCTCGATCCTCTCAACGAGTTATTATGCCATAAGAACAACTTTGAAACAAGAGGATCGTTTTTAACAATACTGTATTAAAGAACGATTAAGACAAAAAATATTGCAATAAATAATAAAATCCCTCAATAAAGAAAGAGAAGTGTACCTTACATCTCTGAAACAGTGACTTTGCTTAAATGGAATAAATCTACATCTTATGAAGTATTTTAATAAAATTTATCAACAGTAAAATAATATTGGTTCCGTTATCATATAGTTGATTCACGAAAATGATGTAAAATAGAATGTCTCTAAATACACATGAATAATGTACGTAAACAATATAATATGTTTCCGTAAGAAAATATTATTTTGCTATTTTATGTAGTTTTATTCGTTTAGCAATGATTTTGTGTATGCGCCATCCGCTTTTAAGGCAATAAATTTTCATATTTATTTCATACAAGCATTTTGGAAGTAAACTTTTGAAAATTTAAACAATAATTTTTTTGTACCAGCTAGATAATTATATAGTTTTATACACTTTAAATTTATCCAACATAAATTCATTTTGTCGGTCAATAGTGTGATCATGTGAATGAATGATGTCAGTCATGAGGAATATTATAATAATTACTATAACTTGAAATATATTATACATAGGGGGTTTATGATTAAGTGTAGGCATGAAAAAGAAATCAATCAAAATTGCAATCAATTACATATTAGATAAATAATCTTACATAACATGTAAATATAATAGACCATTAATTGGTGCTAGAAACTAGTATGTTTAATTACTGGCAATAACATAAGTCGTAGATATCTTTAGTTAAAAAAATCTCAAAATGTTTACCTATACTGACATGTGTATTAGAACTCATATTGCGACTCATACTGTATTTTTATCATACCACAGATGGCCAGGAGAACATAAGTGACAGTGGGTATTTCTTGTCTTTTGTCGGAAAAGGAAGCACATCGTGTGATAGTACTGAAAAACTATTGAAGAAAAATAATAACAACAATCACTCAAATAATACAACAATCAACAGCAACTATATTCTATCAAAGAAGGTAGGTGACCAATTAACCAAAAATGAAAATTATTGCATAAAAGCGTGTGACGATAAAATATGCAAAGATAATGTCCACGCTGTGACAAGAGAAAGAAATAACGTTTTGATACCGGGGCTTAATATACAAAGTTATGTCTCCGCTTTGGTAGAAGAAGAAAAAAAGGATTTTATACCGGGAAATGATGTACAAGAATTCGTCTCCGTTTTGCCCGTAGAAGAAAATAACGTTTTGATAACAGAACAAAACATACAAGATTACGTCTCCACTATGCCTGGAGAGGTAAACAATGTTTTGATTCCAGTTAATAATGTCCAAGATTACGTCTCCGCTTTGCCTGGAGAGGAAAACAATGTTTGTTCCAGGAAATGACCAAAAGATTACGTCCCGCTTTCCCTTTTGAAAGAAAAAATTTTTTTGATTCCCGGAAATGTTGCCCCATAAAATTACGTCCCCGCTAGCGGAGAAAAACAATTTTTCCCCAAAAACCGGGAAATGATTCCCAAAAGATTACCCCTCCCGCTTTAAACCAGAAACAAGGGGATGGTGTTTTTGATGCCAGGACTAAGGAAAGAAAACGTCTTTGACATTCCAGAGGAAAATAACGTTTTGATTCCTGGAAATTATGTTCATGATTACGTCTCTGTCATGCCAGGGGACGAAAATGATGTTTTGATTCAGGGAAATAATGTGCAAGATGAATATGTCTCTTCTATGTCTGTCATGGAAAATAATATTTCTATACCGATAATCTATGTACAAGATTATCTGTGCGATTTAAAAGAAGGAGAAAATAGTTCGTTCATGCCGGGACATGATATACAAGATTATCTTTTTGCTTTGCCAGAAGAAGAAAGGAAACCGAAACATAATGTACATGATTACGTGTCCGCAGTGTCAGAAGAAAATGATTTGTTGACACCTGGAAATAATGTACAGAATTATGAATCTGCTTTACAAGAAGAAGAAAATGTTCTGATACCGGAACATAATAAACATGAATACGTCTCACAATGCAAAAAAAGGGGAAAATGATTTCTGATCCCCCGGAAAATAAGTACACGATTACGTTACTGAAAATGAAAAAAGAAAAAAAATTTTTTTGCTCCCGGAACATAGGGAAAAAATGATTATTTTTAAAGCAAATTCGAAAAAAGTTTTTAAAATACAGGACACATGTACAAATTATGTCTTCGCTTTCCCAACAGAAAAAAATAATTTAATTGATACCGGGAAAACAAAATTTTTAGAAATTTGTTTCACCCAGGCTGGAGGAGAGTGTTTTGATAGAGGACTAATGTACAAGTTTAATTTAATTCTCTATTAAAAAGAGGAGAAAATGTGTTGTGATACCTTGCGCACAAGGACGCGCTTGAAATAAGAGTAATCAGCTTATTGATGATGGCACAACGGAAAATCTAATATCCAGCAAAAACTATATGAAGGCTTGAGTAACAGCCGCAGAATAATTAGCAACATATATCATATGTTTTAATACCAAGACTTATACCAATTAAAACAAACTCATCAAATTACGGCTGTAGCAGCACCTAAACTTACACCTTTAATATATAACAGGAACGTTATACGTTGATTTACCTGTGTTCAAATAGTGACCTGATCTTTAGTTATATATAAAATACAATTGTACGACTGGTAGAAGGAACAGACAATTAATTATACGTTAAAAACTGTGGTAAAAGGCAAATCCCTCGAAAAAACATCAAACTTATATGAAAATTGCAGATTCGGTTTGATGGATATTGTGCATGAGGGACGCACGCAAGTTTAAAAGATTACACACGTGTTTGGTCTGGCAGGATTTGGATCCGTTCGCGGATTCGAAGCTTTAACAGGCCACACGTAGTAAACATGTTTATTGAACAAAATATGAAAGTTCTAATTGCGTATAATGGAAGGGGAAAAATTGGGCTTATGCAATATTGTTTTAAGAAAGAGAAACAACCATTCTAGCAGTCATTTACAACAATGAGTAAATATTACAATCTCTGTATTATTTCATTTTCTTGTATATTATCTTATGTTATCATATGTATACGTAATGTTTATTTTGCTTTTGAATTGTTTTTACTATTAATTAAGAATTTACAAACCGATATAAATATCATTATCATTCACAATATATGCATGTTTATATAATTATATTTACATGTAATGTGTCAATAAAGCAAAGCAATAAAATGTGTTCAAATAGTGTTCTACGAAAGTCATTCAATATGTTTTGGCACTGTGTTCAAATTTGGTAACTGTTACATTTCAAATGTTTTAAATGTTTTCTATTTCAAACCTTCAAAGTATTCCTCCTCTTCCGAAATGCTTAATTTTATCTCTAGCCCTGGAAATAAGAAACCACATGGACTTCAGTCAGGACAATAAGGCCGATGGTTTACATCTTTAACAATTTCAGATGCCAAGAAAGACTAAACAATCTTGTTTTTGTGTTATGTTTAAGATGGACTACTGATCATCTTTTTCATGGACCTTTCTTTTTGTAGAACGCTTACACTTTTTTCAGTAGTACAAATTTCTTGTAGAATTATCCAATGATTGTGTGACTAGATGAACAAAACACTTGAACGACTGGTTCACTGGAATAAAGGAAACTCGTATACAACGTCTTCATTGTACTGATGGTCCTAGTGACAATGCATATCCGTTTTTAATCGTTTCTTAGAACCAAAACGCTTGATCAGAATTAAATGCATACTGCCTTCTGATATGCCAGTGCAATTAGCCATTTTCTTCACTGACATTCTTGCATCCTGATTTACTATAACCTTTACAGCGACGCGGCAATGTTTCTTACAGTAACCGATGCTTTAAGGACTACGTTCACATTGATAGAAATATTTCCCATCTTTAAAAGCTTTGACCAATCTAAAGATTTGGACTTAATATTTAGGTCGGCACAATTCATTGTATATCCATAGCAGCTATAACAATCCTTATGCGACATTTGATGTAGCCACAAATTTCAGTTTTAATTCTTGCTCATTGTACAATATGGTCAGGAAATTTGTCAGTGCATATGACTGCATGCATTTCGAATTAAAATAGCCCGGGCATTTAACACGCAACTGTCATAAACCAAACCGTTATGGATAGCTATTAAACACCTCATTCAAGTGCTTTGGAGCGTTTTAAAATACAATGTGAAGCACCTAAAATACAATGTGAGACACCTATAAGTGGCATAACTTATTGAATGATTCTGGAAATGTTAGAATTTCTAATTTCCGTAGTCATCGTTATGCATTTTATTTTGATGTTATACACATGCACTTTTTTGTAATGATAAATGATATTTCAAAGCGACCATCAGATGAAAACTTACATCGGAAATCATTCAAAAAGACATAAGATCTTGTGTACTCACGGAGTCCCATCATTTTTTTGTAATAGTGGTCAGGTTCTATGGGAATCAATATAAGGTGAAATGAAAATGAAAATGGCATTATGCTCAGCAAAGAATACATAGTGACTAAACAGCTGCAATATTTATTTTCATTTTTTATGCTTCTAGAAGGGAAAGCATATAGTCTCCGCTTTGTCCGTCCGACCGCATTTGGACGGGACTTAACTCTGAAACTACGAGAGGTATCAACAAGAAACTTTTCCGATCCTTAAAGATCGTTCAGCACGACATTATTGTTGTGCTTGTGGTATTTTAGTTCTATCTATTCGGCATCTTTCTTGTTGGCTGGTTCCAGTATCCTCCCTCACTTGAATACTTGAATCACCCTTAGGATACGAGGCTTGCTTTTTAAATTTGTCTGTTGGTGTTATATCTGTGATATACAGGCTTCAAAACCTCAGATCCCCTTTCAAAATTCCATTTTATTTAGTTCCGCCCATTGTTTTCTCGTTTAGGGCACACGCATTTTTTTGGGGGGGACCATATGCCGTTTTTCATGGAATGGCACTAACGTGTCACATTGAAGGTTCCATGATAACCGCCATATGAACACATCTGCGGTTGTTTCAAAATTCTAAATTTTACCAGTTTATGTTAAATGTTGAATTCTGCTTAAGCCGGTGCTAGGGGGCGTGGACGGCAGCAGGCTCAATCAAACCGAGCCTGCAACATTTTTAATTTTGCCGCGTTGGGCTTTCTTTAGGGATTCTTATTTCACTCTTTTTTGTAAGTTGATAGATCTCATTGTGTAAAAGTGAGATAATTAGAACCGTAACTCTGCCTTGCCTAATTTTGGAGTTATTGCTTTTTTCTTTATTTTTACACTATGAACATTGTTCGGGACATTACTCTGAAACTACAAGAGGTATCAACAAGAAACTTTGTAGAAACTGAGTAGAAGTACAGTGCACAAGTACAGTTACCCTTCCTTGTCTTATTGTGGAGTTATTGCCCTCTTTCATATTTACACTTTGAACATTGTCCGGAACCACAAGAGGTATAATCAAGAAACTTGGTATGCAGGTAGATGTCTCTTTTAGAAGAAGTGCAGTGCATATGAACCGTTACTTTGTCTTGCCTAATTTTGGAGTTATTGCCCTGTTTTCTTTTACATATTGAACACTGTCCGCATTATTACTAACTTCAAGAGGTAACAACCGGAAACTTAGTATGTACATAAATCTTATTAATGCAGAAAAACCGTAACACTGCATTGCAAATTTTCTTTCTTAAGATTAGTTTAAACCGTTTTAATGCTTTTAGAAAAATAAAAAGGTCGTGCGTTTCCCCCGCCCGACGGTGCCTCTTTTCAATTTTTACACCTTGTACGTTGTCTGGGACATAACTCTGAAACCACAAGATGTTTCAACAAGAAAATTTGTAGGTATGTAGATAGATTTCATTTAGTAGAATTGCAATGGATAAAAATCGTAAATATGCCTTACCTGATTTTTGAGTTATTACCCTTTTTCACTTTGAACTTTGTCTGGAACATAACTCTGAAACTACAAGAAACAACCTTTTTTCTGTGTTCAAAACCTATTCGGGGAGCATCACACCGCCTCTTGTGTAATTCATTCCGCGAGAACGATAAATAACTGACAGGACCCGACAAACTTTCTGAATATACCCAACAGAATTGTTCAATTTATAAAAGAGTGGAGCAGTCTTTTTTACTTAATGCAGTTAAGTATTTTATCCTAAACATGCTCCGATATCAACTTTTGACCAATCACCATCAGTCACTATCAGTCAATCTTTTGAAATTTATTGTCAATTCAGCTCAACTTGACGATAAAAATGCCACTTTAAACAAGCGATATGTTTGCATTTCTTCGTGAATTCAAAACTCAGAAATAAACCATGCAAAAGAAACAGGTTTTTTTCGGTCGAGTGTCTTTTTAGCTCACCTGAGCATGCTCAGGGTGAGCTTTTAGGATCGATGATTGTCCGTCGTCCGTCGTCAGTTCGTCCGTTCACATTTTGTTGTTAATACTCTAGCGGTCGCATTTTTGCCTCAATCATCATCGAACTTGGTCAGGATCCTTATCTAGTTGATAGCTCGGATGAGTTTGAACATGGGTCATCTCGGATGAAAAACTAGGTCACAAGAGCTAAAAATAGAAAAACCTTGTTAACACTCTAGAGGTCACATTTTTGCCTCAATCATCATCAAACTTGGTCAGGATGTTTGAGTAGGTAATAGCTCGGATGAGTTGGAACATGGGTCATCTCGGATGAAAAAGTAGGTCACCGGAGCTAAAAAAAGAAAAACTTTGTTAACACTCTAGCGGTCACATTTTTGCCTCAATCATCATCAAACTTGGTCAGGATGCTTGTCTAGGTGATAGCTCGGATGAGTTCGAACATGGGTCATCTCGGATGAAAAAGTAGGTCACCGGAGCTAAAAATAGAAAAACCTTGTTAACACTCTAGCGGTCACATTTTTGCCTCAATCATCATCAAACTTTGTCAGGAAGCTTGTCTAAGTGATAGCTCGGATGAGTTCGAATATGGGTTATCTCAGATGAAAAACTAGGTCACTGGAGCTAAAAATAGAAAAACCTTGTTAACACTCAAGCGGGCACATTTTTGCCTCAATCATCACCAAACTTGGTCAGGATGCTTATCTAGTTGATAGCTTGGATGAGTTCGAACATGGGTCATCTCGGATGAAAAACTAGGTCACAAGAGCTAAAAATAGAAAAACCTTGTTAACACTAGCGGTCACAATTTTGCCTCAATCATCATCAAACTTGGTCAGGATGTTTGTCTTGGTGATAGCTTAGACGAGTTCGAACATGGGTCATCTCGGATGAAAAAGTAGGTCACCGGAGCTAAAAATAGAAAAACCTTGTTAACACTCTAGAGGTCACATTTTTGCCTCAATCATCATCAAACTTGGTCAGGATGTTTGTCTAGGTGTAGCTTAGATGAGTTCGAACATGGGTCATCTCGGATAAAAAAAGTAGGTCACAAGAGCTAAAAATAGAAAAACCTTGTTAACACTCTAGCGGTCACATTTTGCATCAATCATCATCAAACTTTGTCAGGAAGCTTGTCTAAGTTATAGCTCGGATGAGTTCCAACATGGGTCATCTTGGATGAAAAAGTAGGTCACTGGAGCTAAAAGTAGAAAACCTTGTTAACACTCTAGAGGTCACAATTGTCCGTCGTCCGTCGTCCGTCCGTTCACATTTTGTTGTTAACACTCTAGCGGTCGCATTTTTGCCTCAATCATCATCAAACTTGGTCAGGATGCTTATCTAGTTGATAGCTCGGATGAGTTCGAACACGGGTCATCTCGGATGAAAAACTAGGTCACAAGAGCTAAAAATAGAAAAACCTTGTTAACACTCTAGAGGTCACAATTTGCCTCAATCATCATCAAACTTGGTCAGGATGTTTTTCTAGGTGATAGCTTGGATGAGTTCGAACATTGGTCATCTCGGATGAAAAACTAGGTAACAGGAGCTAAAAATAGAAAAATCTTGTGAACACTCTAGTGGCTACTGTTTTGATCCAAATATCCTGTAAATTGGCCTGAAAGTTTGTTTTGATGATTTCTAAGTCAAGTTCGAACATGGGTCATCTCGGATGAAAAACTAGGTCACACTGCCCAAATATGGAAAAACATTGTTAACATTCTAGTGGTCACATTTTCGACTCAATTATCATCAAACTTGGTCAGGATGCTTGTCTAGGTTGGATGAGTTCGAAATCGCATGTGAAACTATGTCACCGGAGCTAAAAATAGAAAAATCTTGTTAACACTCTAGTTGCTACTGTTTTGATCCAAGTATCCTCGAAATTGGTCTGAAAGTTTGTTTTGATGATTTCAAGGTCAAGTATGAATGTGGGTTACCTGGGTAAAAAACTAGGTCACACTGCTCAAATATGGATAATCCTTGTTAACACTGTAGTGGTCACATTTTTGACTCACCTGTCATGAGACTTGGTCAGAATGCTTGTCTAGGTAATTGTTTGGATGACTTTGATGGGTCAGGTGAGCGATCTAGGGCCATCATGGCCCTATTGTTAAAGATACATCTTGTTTCGAATTTCGAAACTTGTGATGTTGGTGATTATTTTAATTCAATATGTACAAACATTAAATTATGGATGAGTAGAAAACTGTGAGTCAACGTGTAAAGGACTTGTAAAGCTTCATTATTATTATAGTGTATTTATAAACTTATTATCACTGTTACTGACGTTAAAAAATATTTAACGTGTATACGAGTACGACAACATTCAGTAGCTGTCCACATAGCTTATTGGTAGAGAAAGAAGAAATTACATTATTCAAAGGGGTCATCTTATACATTCTATGTATATACTATGCACTTTTATGTTATATTCTTAACAAATATTTACCGAGTTATTATTATCAACATTCTGCTCCTCATAACTAGAGTCAATCAATCAATCAATCAATCAATCAATCAATCAATCAGTCAGTCAATTCTTTAAAATGTTTAAATGAATATGAAATGTTTAGTTGAATTGCAGGTCGTAATTTATTATATTAACGCCTTTTGATGTTTTAATTTCTTTCCCAGCTTATTGTCTCATGATATTCATATATGTTCTTGTCCTTGAGGCCGTATCATGCAACTGAATGGAATTGGTGATTAGATCTTTAAACTTTCAGAATATGTCCCATATACATTTCAGTCTTTTGTATCTGTAATTAATTGTCTCTGCTAAGCATTATTTCCCTATCTTACACCTTTATAACAATTTCAGTAAATAATTCTGGTGACTTCATCCTATCACGCGTGTAGTTGCTGTAATGCTCGTCAACCAATTAAATTTTACTGTAGAAATTGTCGAAAAAAATTTAGCACATGTGATACCACCTCGGCGATATCTGGCACGTGGCGAATCAAAATTGACGAGATAACGTGTAGATATGGCTCTTCAAGTATATATGATACATAATCTTTGATACCACTCTTGGTGAAATCTTTTTCTACAGGCAACAATAGAGGAGCTGCCAGTACTAAAGCATCGACTCTGAGATTTTTGTGTTATTGATGTGGCAGGTGGTCAATAGGCAATCATTACATGGCGGCTCGAGCAATACATAAAGTTAACATGATCCTGACAATCCATCAAAATGTGTGTATTCATTCATTGAAGAAGAAGAGAAAAAAACAACATTTCACTTATTTTCGGCCTAAATTCCTTTTGTGTGTGGTCATTGTAAGCTGGTAATGAGCAGTGCGAATAGAGGTAAAATTACCAACAACTATAGTCCCCATAGTTTAATAAATATATATGTGCCACTGGTAAACATTCGATTGTTATTATATTGTTTAAACGTATTTGGCATAATAAGTGAAGAGTGTTCTTAAAATAGGTACGTAAACAGTATAGCTTTAAATAATATTGGTTTACCAATTATGTTTCATAGCTATTTAAAGAATTATCTTTAGCTAAACTCCGACTTTCCTTCGCGGCGTGCACGTCGCTCGGAGTGCATAAGTCACACCTGATTGGTTAACTTTTTAGGTCACTTAGCTGGTGTCACATTACCAACGGCGAAGAGTATAGCTCTACAAAGTGCTGCTGCCTCCAGGAAGAGGTGCCTTTTCTTCTATTGTCATCTGCGTTCAAGATGCGAAGTACTTCTTAGGGAAGATCTCTACGACAAAAGATGGCTTGAGAAGATCTCATTGCGGCTCTTTGATCAGCGACAATGAAGGCAAACTAAGTCCTTCGTTGCAGGCTCTACGACCAGCGACATAACAAAGGCCGATAGTCTGGAACATATGGCATAGCCGGCGCCCGGTATAAACAAAACTAAAATCATCATCATCTTAAGCTTACTCCTCCTGAAGATGATGCATTGAGTAGTTTGCATTTGCTATCATTTTAGCCCAATTGGAACGTCCTCGGCTATTATCTATAAAGCTGTAAGTTTCAAAACACCTTGTAGATGTGTATGGTGTTGTCTATTGTCTATATTAAGGGATATGATTATGACATGTTTAAACTTCTCCATATTTAAGTCTAAAAAATAAAGACTCATACAAAACAATAAACAGTTTCCTCTGTAAGGTTTTTTTCTATTCAAGTAAAGTCTGATTTATATCAAGTAATAATAATAAGAACTATAATGAATTTTATAGTACTAAGGAACTTTGTATTGTGATTACATTTGAGATTTTAGCAATTTTTAAATAACTGTAAATAAATTCACAATTTTTTGAATATAGTTTACATTACAATAGGTCAATTTTTCACAATTTTCATGGCACAAAATCCATTCACAATATATGGGAAAAAAATCTTATGACTTTTTAGATGGTGAATATATAATGTACTGAAAACTAGAGTACTGGAAAAAAATATTTGCCTCAGTCAATAATATTTCAGTGCATATCACATCATATTTTCTAAAGAAAATTAATTAGTTCCAACTTGAAATATTTGTTGACTACAAGGGCATGTAAGTGTGCTTAGCACAATTTCAGAATACGTCCCCTTCTCTTTGTTGATTTTATTGAACTGGCCAGCATGTAGAAAAAAGGAACCTTCTGTCTTCTAATAGGTCTTTCTTATCAGAAAGTTATGTCAAAATCAATCCGCGAAAGTCATTACTAAAATTATTATAGATTTGAAACTTGAAACTTGAAACTTTTTATTTAATTAAACGCCTGTTTCTATTTAACAATATTCAACGGCGTTGTACAGTACATATAATATAATAAGAATAAAATTGTGAATGCATAAGAATATGTGGATCAACATCAAATGAAATAAAAGCTTTTACATACAATTCCAATTAACATATTTTTAAAAAAATTTAGAGACCATAAAATGATAAAACTGATATACATTTAGCATGAGATAAGATTATTTACATACATGTAACTTGATTACAAATAGATTAAAAAGAATAAAACATTCATTTACATTGCACATTCATCACACTGTCAGTCATCAGTTATACGTTACTCATGTTTATCTCATTTCAGATTTTAAAATAGTGATTCAAACTTTCTGAAAAAATGTGTTTTAAGATTTCTCTTAAATACATCAATATTTTTAGATTGTTTCAACTCAAGATTGTTTGACAAATAGGTTTGTAAGTCATTATTTACTTTGTTTACAGGTTAACAACATCCTGCGTCATGTGGGAGAATTATTGGAATATAAAAATGATCTCTATAAGAAAACAGCTTGGCAATTTGATGAAAAATTCAAGAAACCTACAGCTTGTTATGATATATTTAAACATGCAGTAACGTAAGCTATCTCATGGATATAACTTATTTCTGTTGATTGTTTTGTGACTTTTTACTAAATTTTTGTTGAACTATATAGGGAAGGGTTTGAAAATAACCAGCATATTTTCCATGCAAATCAAAACTTTTTGGCACTGAAAAGAATAGTAGCATTACTCCAGATGGAGAGAGGCAATAGGCAAATTATTTATGTCATGTTTGTATTCTTGACAATATGCCTTTACTAACAGACTTTATTTATGCTTACACGTGAAATATTGTTTTTTTTCATTGAAATGAAGATTATATGGCAGTATATCACTCCTGCATTACTGAACTGTTTGTTGGCTACATATATAATTATAATTTGGTAAATTTGTAACTATACATAAAATTTATTGTTCTGTTGAAATCTTTGCAGAATTTCTTTCGATTCTTGTCTCATTACTTCAGCTACAATAGATAGTAAGGAAGAAAAAAGTCCATATACTTCTTCAGAACCTGTGCATGAAAATAATTACTGTATCCGCAGAATGTAATGCCAGCTATATGACCTACTGATTTGCTATTTTATGATAACAATCTCTTCTAATATATTTTCAGGAATCCGGAACTTTTAGATGAATGTGACATTGATGAGAAAACAAAGGGAGTATTGTTAGAAAATAAATATCAAACGGAGATTAACACCTTAATCTGTGAAAATTAGAGCAGGTAAATTGTGGTAATTACATTAGAATCTTATGTTACATGCTGTCCAGTATAATTTGTGTTAAAAGTCTTATCTATAAATAAAAAATAGAAACCCTGTAAAGCCACTCTTGAAGAATTATTAGAGACTGTAAAGGGAAAAGCTTAAAGATGGACAACTCTGCAGGTCATAATACAAAGTTTACTGTTTGTTCAGCAGATTAAACTCCCTTTGACTTACAAGTCCACCATTGGTTTCATTGGAATTACAATCCGTCACCCAAAGTAGTCTGGATCCAGTCATAACACAAAAGGTACAAAAAGGAAGTGTTGACTATAGTTGGTACATGTATGTAGATAGATGACCACATTTATGGAGATTGTAATAAACATTGTTAAATACTATTACCTATGATTTCACCAACTTAATGTAATGTTCAAATTTAGTTCCCCTTTAGCCATGGTTATAAATAAAAACAACATGTTAACAGAATTACACTCTTTCAAAAAAAATTTATATGCACATAATAGCCAAAGTTCTTCATCTTAACAAATAACAAATATTTTCTAATTATTTTTATCATAAACATGCTTGATGTGCCAATTTGATGTCATATAAGGTCAGTCATTATGTTACATGGAAGCAAGTGTTCCTTTTATAAGTAAAGACAAATGCTTATATGTCATGCTTTTGTTTGTTTGTTTGGATTTTTACGGCACGTCAACACATAACTGGCCATATCGTGCCGAATGCTATTAAAGGCTTAAAATGTTATGTAAAACTTTATTAATGACAATAGAAATGAACCAATTAGATCCTAGAATACAAGTTTATCTCTTTCAAATAATCAATTATGTTTTTTGATGGAATTGTCATGCAAACTTATGTGTCATGTAAACGTATGCGTCATGTAAACTTATGTGTCATGTAAACACAAGCGAATGTCCATTCATAAAGTAATATGTTTGCTCGGTGAAAATATCTCAATCTTATGAAGAAACAAAAGAATATCCTAAGTAAATTTATTATTTGGCTATCTTATCATTAAGTTGATTCAGTATTTTTGTGATTGCCATGTTAGACCAAATGTTATCATACTTGTTCACAGTTGTAAGTTACTTTTCTATGATAAATTTTACATGTAAAGATATCATTTTCTTTGTGGAAATAACTCAAAATTAAATAAACTGGGGGATTGACCAGTCTTCTTGTGTAGATAATGTGTGGTAGTTATTTATCAACAAGAAATGGATGGTTTCATGACAACAGTCATATAGTTATGTACTAACACTCTTTAATAGATTAAATAACTGTCACAATAGTTAAGTAGCTTTCAACTTACACAAGACGATTTCTCAGAAGAAACAATCTGACCAGAATTCTGGTTTTGATTTTCATATATTATTTTTGACTGGTCTTGTTTCCTTTTCCTTTTTTTTTTCTTTATCATGTATCACATTTTCCTTTCCCTCAAACTAACTTTTTAAGGCTTGACATATTGATAGTTTTAAAATACTGTATTTTGTAACATTGATATTTCATTGAATAATTGCAATATTCATATTCATATTATTTATAATGACTGCTGCAGTTGAATTAATTACAGTTGAACTTATATGTCTCAAATGTCAATTTCCTTGATGTGTCAAAGTAAAAGCAAATTCTTGATATATTTATTTATGGCTTTATGGGGGAAAACTTAATTTGTAAATTTGTAACCACTATAAGAACTGTTTACTGTAGAAGGGAACATATTTCTGTATGGAATAAACTAGTGGTAGTTCTTATGAATATCAGTTCTAAGTTTAAGTGTTTTTAACCTTATTGCCCTAATGTTTCAGATATAAAAACTGCTTGTACAAATTACGAAGGAGTAGATGCAGTGAAAAGAGCCATAAAAAAAGGTCTTGAACTATCGACAGAGGCAATGCCTATAAAAGTAAAAATATGATATTTCTGTACTATCAATTATTACACTAGACGAACATTTTACCTAACAGTTCTTTATCATTGGAGTTTTTCCGAGATTTGTAGTTTGACTTTTCAAAGAATTTTGTCTGATTTTTAGACATTAAGTGAATGCGAACAACGGTAGACCAGAAACATACCTTATTATAAATATTGGGATATATCAGTAAACAAAACACAGAAAAAGATGAATAATATTCTTATAACCAAATCACAATAACCCCCAAACTTAGAAACGAACAGAACAAAGCGGAATGGTGCCTTGACCATTGATAAACAAGGATTAAAATAGTATCATTTCAAAATGAGGCAGATAGAAATACTGACATATTAACTTAACATGGCACAAAATAAACCCATGAAACTGCTAAATTAGTGTAAGAAAGTTACCAAACCATATACAAATACTAAGAAATTCTGAATTATTCACCTGTAAGTAAAAGCTGAAAAATTGCCGTATGATCTTTACGGAGTTTTTGTGATTAATAATACATGAATTATTTATTTCAGATCCATATCATAGCCCCACCACAATATGTGGTAACAACACAAACTTTAGAACGTACAGATGATTTAAACACATTAAATGCAGTGTTGCAGGCTATTAAAGCCAGTATAGAGGAAGCAGGGGGAATGTACAATATACAACTACAGGTAAACTGTTTGAAATATTACCTCAAAAAAGTATAAAAAGTATTGTGAAAAAAGAAAAACAAAAATCATAATGTCATTTATATGTATTGTTATTGAAATAATAGGGGAAAAAGTCATTTGAGTGACCTGACCCTCGTTAATATAAAATTATCAGTCATTATTAGGGCCTACCATGTGCCTGTTTGGTTTATTGTGGTAATAAGAGTTATAAAATACAGTGTGAACTGTGGCTTCAATTTGATGAAATTGTCTTAAAACTGATCCACACACAGTGATTATCAGATCCCTGAGACAAAAGGAAAAGCTTTTGCCAGCAGTTTAAAGCCAGGCTTCCTTGGAATCTTATCAGCCTCTTACTGTTAAATGGCAAACTTAATCTTTTAATTGGTAATGGACTGTTCCATAAGTGGAAGTTGGATAAGTCTTTGTAAGATATTCAGCAGACTTGTGGTTAATGTACTGTATTTTATTTTTAGCCTAAAGTTGTTTCTGACATTGATGAGCAAGAATTGGCCGGAAAGCTTCAGCAACTGGAGGATGAGAATAGAGAAGTTAGTGGTGGTGATGATGACGACGACGATGATGATGATGATGATGATGATAAAAGTGATAATAGTGAGCCAGAAGTTGACCAAGGATAATAACTGTGATATGATAAATCAGATATTTATTGTTGAAGACAAGATAGAACTTATTTCTAGATATTCTTTTTAATTGGTATACAGTATTTTGGTCCAGGTATTAAAGGAACTCCACTGAGGTCTAAAAGCCAAAATGATTAAATTTGTTATTCTTTTTTCAACCAAATGGTGCACTTAAAATGGAAAACTATGCAATATATAATAATTGAATATCCTGGGTACTAAAATAATCGGCTTTTTTATCCTTGGGATTTTTGGCTATTTAATTGAAAAACGTTGCAACGCTTACAATTCTGGGTCAATTTGCGCAATAATATTGCTTATACCATGTAACAAATGAACTGAAATTTTGCACACAAGTTATTGGTTTAGACCTACATACTGTAATACAAAAGTCCTAAAAACTATTTACAGTCCCTTCATGTCAAAAAACCTCAGTGGAGTCCCTCTAACTTGTTAAAATGCATAGCAGCAAGAGGTTGATATGGTTAAATGATAAATTACTGAAATACACTCTGCAATCCTACTGGACAAGTGGTTTGCTAAACACAGTGTTATGTGTATACTACATTTAAGTTTTCCTGATCTATGTAAAATAATCAGACAAGCCACACAAACACGAACATTTAGTAATTTAGTTTAATTGCAAACGTTTCGGCTATATGCCTTCATCAGTGCAAAACATAATAAAATTACCGGAAGCGACGTCATAACGGAACACGCGTTTAACGCGCGAAAAACGTTATGGCGTTTAGCGGCAAAACTATGATAACATGTAGAAACAAATATTTATGCTATAAATAAAGCTGGTACATGAATTAAAATGGATCAACAGTGATACAGATGTCTATTAGACAGTGTTAATAAAAATAAGATAATAGACAAATATATTAATATTCATGTAACCAATTATAAATCAAACAATACTTTATTATTTAGTCCATTTCGAATCATAGCATTTAATTTATGGATCCAAAAAGATTCTTTACATAACCGGTCCATGTTGCTGTCTATAATTTCAATAGGCAAAAATGAAAAATCTGACAATGAACACTTATTATCGTTTGATCCGAAATGGATCGCAACATGTGAAACTGGATTAACGTCACAATTTCTTATATCAAATCTATGTTTATTCATTCTGCATGATACATTTTGATTAGTCTGACCTACGTATTGCTTTTTACAGCCTTTACATGTAATGAGGTAAATTACATTACGCGTAAGTACAATTAACATCATTGTGTAAATCAAAAGAACTACCTGTTATGCTGCTATTAAATTGGGAACCAACAATTATATTGTTACAATGTGAACATCTACTTCGTAAACATTGGCTAGATAAAAATGTGCGATCAAGTAAAGCACTTCTCATAAGATAATCTCGAATGTTTTTAGGACGTCTGTATGCTAAAATAGGTTTGAACTTGGTATGTATATTTTTAACGCTTACCTTATCAGACAAAAGTAATAGATCCCAATATTTATTTAAGATTTCACCAATATTAGACAGAGATGTATTAAAACATACAGTAAAAGGTATTATTGAACTAGTATTTTTAACGACAGGACTTAGAGCATCATTTTGGGAATGCCTTCAGTTTTAGCAAACGCTTTCTCAATAATAGATTTAGGATAATGTCTATCAGAAAAATATCTATTTAACATATCTAAAGACTGCTTAAAAGTACCGTCATCGGAAATGACACGTCTATAACGTTTAGCTTGACTAAACGGGATACCACGCTTACATGATAAAGGATGAGAGGATGTAAAATCTAAATACAAATGCATATTTGTAGGTTACGTCTTTAGATACAGAAACATCAAGAAAAGGTACCGAACTTTTAGAAATATTGTAAGTGAATTTAATATTCGGTTGGAAACTATTTTAGGAATCTATAAAAAAAGTTTAGCGTTTCCAAAGAATCATTCCAAATCATAAAAATATCATCGAGGAAACGTAACCAGATCATCAGGTTTTACATAAGTAGAGTTAAGAAATTGCTCTTCTAGTCTACCCATGAATAGTGAAGCATAAGAAGGTGCCATAGGGCTTCCCATTGCTGTGCCCATGGTTTGTAAATATCTCTGATCGTTAAAGTCAAAGCAATTATTATGTAAAACAATATTTAACAATTTCCTTATATCACTAGCTTAGATGTTATTGTTTCCTTTATCTTTCTGTAAAAAATATATACAAGATTCAATACCTTCATTATGAGGGATATTTGTGTATAATGATGAAACATCAAGGGTAACCAGATAGGTGTCTTTGATTAATTTAAGATTACGAACCTTATTTATAAAGTCGGTGGTATCCTTGATATAGGAAGGCAAACTTTGCATATAAGGATTTAAAATAAAGTCTAGGTATTTCGCTATGTTCTCTTTTTTTTTTTTTTTTTTTAGTAAAAGACTTATTGTAAAACTTCAATAAGCATATGGTAGTTACGATACTGGTATAATGGCGGTATTGAATAATTTAAATGTATTACTTATTCTGCATAGAAACATTTGGTGCTTCTTTTGAATAGAAAATCTGAGGAATTCCTCATAAAGGAAGGATAACAAATCTTGGTTTGTTCACTTGTTTAAATTTTGTGAGATCATCATTTTGTCTTATTGAGAAGTATGAACAAGATTTAAAAGAGCATTGATGTTGTAAAGAAAATGTAAACATTAAACATTTATTACTAAAATTATCAAACTAAATAAATGTTTACTTGAAATTTACAAATATCTGTCTTTAACAAGTACAAAGTGCTCGGAGGTGAACTTTTGTAATGGCAGTATGTCCGTTGTTTGTCATTGTCAAAAGTTCTTAAAACAACATTTCCAAAAGTACAAGATTGATTTTGACCAAATTTACAACGCCCTGTTAGAAATTAAATCTCACCTGAACTACAATGTCCAGAGGTTAGGTTTTTGGTAAGTACAATGTAGTATGACCTTCTGGTTGACAAACGTTAAGTAAATTATACTCCTGTGGTCAAAATTTACCCTGCCCTCAGAGTCACTGAGTTATATAAATTAGCAAAAGATGACCCGACCCTGGGGTCACCTTTTTAGACTTGTAGAGTAAATATATCTAAAAAAATCTTGCTCCAAAACATTAATGTCCACAGGTTAGATATTTGGCATGTAGTATCATAATCACCTTGTGATCCTCAAGTCATAAAACATCCTTCCTGTGTCAAAATTGTCTCCGTCCCGTGTTACTAGTTTACATAGAATTCAATGACAGAGTAATATAAGTCTACTTCAAGAAACTTCTATGCCAAAATTTAAGAATTTGTTTTTGCATATGGCAATGATAAGGGGGCCTCTAGAAGTGTTTTTAATACCATTAGGCTAAAAATGGCATGCCTTAGTACAAATGATTGTATTGTAATAACTTAGAAATCTACTGCTAAATTTCTTCCTTTGTTCAAATAAAAACCCTAGGGTAAAAATTTACCTCACCCCAGGAGTCATTGATTTTCCTTATATGTACATGTATATAGTTAAACTTAAGATACACTATGCTCATTCTTGAGTACAATATTTAAATATCCAAAATTTATTGAAATATACAAAATTCTTACTGAAAATGTTTTATTGGAATGAAAGAATGAATAAACTATGCATTGGAAGCTGCATTCCCTATCAAAGATCAAGTTAAGTTTGTCTTTTCTTAAAAAAAATAACTGCCTTTTTAATGACACTATATATTCATATTGTGACCGACTTTAAAGTGTAGAATTTAAAACATGACACACCTTCTTTGTGTGAAGTCAAAACATGTATGTTTTATGTTTATAATGAAACTTTGAAGTAATTATCAATTTCCTTTTATATCAAATTTAATTATAGTGTATCTTTAAAAAAATCTTCTTGTGAAAATCAAAAAGAGCTAAAGCTTAGATATTTGGCATAAAACCTCTTCTAGTAGATGTCTACCAAGTTTGTCAAAATGAAAGCCTTAGGGTCAAAATTGGCCCAGCCCCAGGGGTCATTGATTTTCCTTATATGTATATAGTAAAAACTTAAAAAATCTTCTTGTGAAAATCCAAAAGAGGTAGATCTTAGATATTTGGCAAGAAACATGTTCTAGTGTATGTCTACCATGTCTTTTTGTTGAAATAAAACCCCTAGGGTCAAAATTGGCCCCGCCCCATATGATCGAGGTCGACAGTTCAATCCGCAGCCAGGTTAAATGTCTGTTTGCCTTCTCTTTTTATTAGCTGACCTCTCACTTAATGACATACTGGACTGGACTGTTTAAGAAATGGCTGTCAGAGTTAAAATAAGAAATCAACAACATCTAAACCACTGGTTCAGTTTTAAAATAATTTTACACAGGAATTTCCTTGGTGACAGTGTACACACAATGTTCAGATTAAGATGTCCCTTGTTTTCAAATCGTGCTTCTGGAGTGAAAGGGGCTCCATTCTGACCATTTGACCTATTTCGCAGGTGAGAGATCCAGGGCCCTCTGGGATATCTTGTTTTTCAAGGGGAGATAAATCTGAAAATATTGGTGCTAGAGTTATGAACCTTGTCACATAAGATGGGGATGATAATAAGGTACAAATATATGATACTAAATCCAAGCAATGTGAAATAAACAATCTCGAACACGTGTTTAGTAACGACCTTCTAGTTCATACCCGTGGCATTTATATGGTACAGTGAGAGATATTTTTTTTACCTTTATAAAATGATATGTTGTTTATATGAATAGAGAAGCCGATGAATCAGTTTTACATGGTAACAAAATATCTCATAAACGGTAGTGCATATTTATATTACAAGGATGTTACTATAGTGTAACAAATGATTTTTTATTTATATCAAATTATTTGTAAAAGTGAATTTTGTTATTATGTTATAATAAGGCGATACTAGGAAAACGCTCGTGTGTATCACAAGACTTTAGTGTTCGTCGCGTTGATTGTTACTACCCCCCCCCTCCTACCTCTCTAAAACAATCTAAACTGCAGTATTTTTCATTTGGAATATGTGTTAATGTCTGACATATGCTTTTAATTTAATTTCTGACATATGCTTTAAATTCAATTTCTTTCACTCCCTGCAAAAAGAGGTATGCAACTCGTCGCTCATTTTTCAGCACTCGTCTTAATCTGAACTCCAGAATTCCATTAAATTTTGTATTTCCATTTGTAAGTTGGCCGAAAATTAAAAAAAAAAAAAAAATTTTCACCAAATTTCAAAATCTTAGTACAAAATGGTAGGGAATTTATTACTCTTTAAGGAAATAAAGCTGTCATTAGAATGATTTCAAGTTATTAGAAAATAAGTTATCTCGAAGTAACCGCAAGTGTAAGTCGACAGAGATGTGCCCGATTATGTTATTTAAAAAAGAATAGTAATGTAAGTTATATGTAAAATATCTAACAGCAAAACATATTTTGAATACCCCTTCTGCTTTATACCACGTATCTAAATATTTCCCTGCTCAGATTTAACTAGATTTTAGGTTAAGGTTTCCAGGTGGTATACGAGCTCGTATTACACGAACAATTTCAAAATTGCCGAAACGGAACCTGATCCCCATATAAATTGAAGTTTCTCTAGTTAACCTTCAACATGTTATATATACATATATATTTATATTGTTAACTTATTTGACAATTGCGATTAACGGGGCGGAGGAATTACATGTAAATGTAGGTAAAAAGCAGGATTACCATCATAAGTTTATGGTTTCATCTTTACAGTTTCATAATTTAACTATTATTTTTCTCTTTTTCTGTCTAAACAGTTCAATAAAAGAAAATAAACTCACTTTCACTGGTATCAGTTAATCAATTAAAAACAACAATTCGTCACAATCTACAATAATTGTTGTACATAACCTTTTGCATTGTTTTATTGTGGACTTTGTCTTTATTAATAACATTGTGCCACAAACAAATTGTTAGTTTCTGTATAAGATATACCCCTATAAACTTAGTTGAATTACTTAATCTACACTTCTTTTAGAAAATCTTAAAAAAAGATGTATAATATAGCCTTTTTTACGAAGCAGTCCGTTGCTATGAAAAGTTGACCACATTTATTTTCTCGCGCGTGTTCAATCAGCGTAAGGCAAAAATCATCTTTCTGTTGAAAATGTGTCAGAGTTATATCGTATACAAATACATACACAGTGCGTTAACTGGAGTGCAGATGTTAGTTACCCGCAATTTTTCAGAATAGTCCGCAGGATTCGAATCAGGACTAATTTGAAGAATAGCAGAGGATGTTGCGATTGTAGTTACACCCGCACTGTAGGCTGGGGTTAACATATTGTGACGACAGAGACAGGGATAGCGATAGAAATATTATATTCAGATGCTCGTTCAATCCAATATTTAAGCTACTTTTGTTACATATTTTATAAGATAAACGTATAGACTTCAAGATGTTTTAGTTTTTGTAGGAATAAGGTTAAACTTTATACAGAACCAGCAACCGTTAAATTACATTGGGTAAACCGCGATTATGATCATATATCAAGAGGACAATTTTTATATACTACACTAAATACCGAAAACGAAACTCCACATTGTTAATTGTGAATCATGAAAATGTACGGAATGGGATTAAAATTCTGGATATTTGTTTTTTGTTATGACTTTACTGTTGTTGCAGCAAGGCAGTGTAAGTTTATTATATATAAATGACGAGATATTTTTTTTATCTAGATCGTGCCATGTTTCATCTTTATATTCTATATAGTAAGGTATCTTAGTGTCAGAATTAAATCGTTATGCGATACTTAACCCTAAAGGCCCGTTATGCCAAAGAAATGCTTAGTTTTTTTATTTAAGGCATTTTTGCGGTGTACTGTTAAAGCACAGAGTCTCAAGGGTGACTTTAAAATTACAAAGATTATTGCCGGACTTAATTCGTTTTTACGAAATAATCATTCGTAATTACGAAATATCAATTCGTTTTTATAAAATAATAATTCGTAATTATACGAATCAATATTTCGTTAATTTTTTTTCGAAATAAATTCTGTGATTAGACGGAATCACAATAGGCAAACTAGCCTCTTTCTTGTCGGCTCAATAGTTTGCTAGATATGACATTTACTGACTTTATATTTTATTTAGTGAGGGAAGAGTTCTGTTCTGTTCCTTAAGTTGACAAAATCATCACGACAACGTGAAAATACAGACGCTGGATTCTTTTTTGTAAAAATTGCGCCCATGGGTCCAAATCAAGACTCGTACAAAAATATGTTTCGTTATGTCGAGTCTATTGAGTTTTGAAACAAAATATCATGCTTTTATGATCGCCGAAAGGCCAGCCTTTTTTACTAACATGTATGATAAACGAAAGTTAAAATTTAGCCTGTTACTTTTTTAAGAAACATTTAAGAAAAGATTAATTGTCTCAGAAATTAAAACATTTTATTGCCAGCTGTTAGGAAACAAGAGGATGTTTTTGGAAATAAATGTAGTCTGCTCTTTAACATTGTTATCAGCCATATCAAATAAATTAGTATTCATTTAAGTTATTTATTCATCTCTAAAATCATTTTGAGCGGGAAATAACAGAAATTGTGTTGTTGTTTTGGGGTAGGTAGAAAAGAGGGTTAAAATTAAAGTTTGCATATTTGGAGAGAAAAAAAAACCGCTTATCTGAATTACGAAATACAAGATAAGGATTCCTGAATAATAGAATTTTCAAAATTGTTTATCTTTGCAGTTTTATTTTTTTCCTCTGCAGTTAATGATGGAAAACGGATCTTTTTGTTTTGAAATATATATTTATGATGTCCTTTAGAAAACAGCATAGCCAAAACAAATGTTCGACAGTTTCGTTTTCATTTTTTACAAACTGTACAAGTAGGGTTATCATCATAATTAATTTAATGTAAAAATTAGTTGGTGTCATGTAGTAGCATGTAATGATTTATAAATAATACCGACCCCTTGTATAAGTATATTCTTCAAGTGATATGACAATTTGGTCCATAGGGTTTTGTACGTTATTCATACAAAAGTTAAATTGTTTCATCATCTCAATTTTCTTTTCCTAAATTCCCTGAAAAGTTTAAAAGTTTGAATTTAACATGAGTATGTTATAAAAAATCCTCTAACACCTTAAGAATCTATTATACTAACAATGTACTATACTTTGTTGCCAAATAGCAATCGTTTGTTATTAAACAATAGTAGATCTGCAAAAGATTCGTTATTTATAGGGTACTTATCTATAGCTACACATTAAATGTGTCTTTAAAAACGTTTGTAATGCGTTTTGCAATTTTATCTTTGTAATATTTTGAAATAATTTTGCATATCAAATTACGCTAACCAGCTTTAATTATATTTAATGCCTAATGCCATAATGTAAACATTTATATTTAACCTTTTAAACCTCCTCTTGAGTTGTCCTTGACCATAACAGTTTTTTTCTTAACATTTTCTTTCTAAAATTATAAAACATAATACATGTACTAAGTTGATTTGTCATGTCCAGGGGTGGTGGTGGTAGGTTTCTAAAAGATGGTAAAAGCATCTACCATCATTTTAACCTTATAAAAAATCTAAAGAAAAAAAAATATATAGATCTAGTGTCTGAGGCATAATGTGCATTAAATGCTATAATTCATTTATTGGTCATTTCGCACAATCAAAATGATTATTTTGGAAATGGAGAGAGCAAATGAATTGATTTTCAAAATATATTTGTCCTTTTAATCTTGATAGTGGACAAGTGCTACATTCAATCAGGGATGTTATATTTCCGATCCTTTAAGATCGTTCAGCATGTCATTATTGTTATGCTTGTGGTATTTTAGTTCTATCTATTCGGCATCTCTCTTGTTGGGTGGTTCCAGTATTCCTCACTTGAATACTGTTGAATCACCCTTAGGATATGAAGCCTGCTTTTTAAATTTGTCTTTTGACGATATATCTGTGATACGCAGGAGGCTTCATAACCCCAGATCCCCTTTCAAAATTCCATTTTAATTAGTTCCGCCAATTGTTTTCTCGTTTGACACACGCATTGTTTTACTTGGGGACCATATGCCGCTTTTCATGGAATGGCACTAACGTTTTACATTGAAGGTTCCATGATGACCGCCATATGAACAATTCTGCGGATTTTCACAAAATTCTAAATTTTACCACTTCATGTTAAATGTTGAATTCTGCTTAAGCTGGTGCTAGGGGGCGTGGACGGTAGTTTGCACTAGACAGTACCGTCCATGAACAGGCTCAATCAAACCGAACCGGCAATATTCTCAGTTTCGACGGGTTGGGCTTTCTTTAGGGATTCTTATTTTCTCTATTTCATACAAGGTTTGAAGTTCCTAGGTTAATGAACTTTAATATAATGGCAAGCTTATGCTTTATCATAATAGAGTCATGTGATCTTGACCTTTGACCTATTGATCTGTAAATGAGCGTAAATTGTAGAACTAATGTGTCTATGTACAAAGTTTGAAGTTCGTAGATGTAGCAATGCACTTTGCTGTAATGGCCAGTTGTATATTTTATAATGCAGGCCCGAGTGATCTTGGACCTTTCGGCCTAAACATTGGTGTGGCAGGTTGAAATCATCAAGGTACATCTGCATATAAAGTGTTTATGAAATTAAACATAAAAGCATTAACGTAAATGACCATAAAATAAAACTTGTTTATCCGAAAAGGTTAACCAACGCCGTCGCAATAAATGGGTCATGACAAAACCTTTGCTTTTCTCTTCGAAAGTGGGGTCTATTTACCGAACATTAAAGCAGATACTAGAATTTATTATTTTGCTACTGATAGGACAAGTGTTAATGTTAACAGAATACATCCGAAAAATTCATCTGCAGGTTTCGTCAGGTATGAAACGTATATCATGTTATGAAGAGTATTGTTTTACAGTTAATTGCATTCGTACAAACTCGAATCAATAATGTACTGTTCATCGTAGTTATGATTTGGTTATAGTCTGATATGTAACGAGTCAATTCATATTTAAACAAGAGATCTTTGTGAAACACGTTTTTCTTTTGGTACAAAACAATGAAAATAAAATCAGGGTCATTTGATCATGATCCTGATCTTTTTAGTGAAGGCCAAGTCAACAGTTTGACTCTAACCTTAAACAAGCACGGGGTATTTAAAGTAACTGGTCTTTTATTATTATTATACAGGTTTGACGATATTTCCTAAAGGCAATGTAATCGTCGCGGCTGGTGAAAACCTACAAGTGAACTGCTCAGTTAATATGACACACATGAGCGATTGTTTTGATAATTTTGCTATCAATGATGTTTCGGTTTATAAGGTAAGTTTCTTTAACAGTCGGGCATACTTTCTGATCGGGAAACAAGCAAATTCCCCTACAAGGTTTCCCGATTAGGCAAAAAACGTCAAAATCCTTTGCGATCGGGATTTTTTTTTTGTACGTAGTTCAGGAAAAATAGCCGGTGCATGACAGTTTTCAGTCCATTTCAATATGAATATCATACTTTAGTGCAGAAAAAATACATCTAAAATCCTACCAAGTCATTTGCATTTAAAAAGCCTACAATTAAAATAATCTGAAAGTGAACTCAAGTAAAGTTTTTTGATTCTACTAAAAACTAGTCATTTCCCGTTTTTTAAACGTTGCTTCCTGATCAGGCATCTAGCAAAATATTCATTATTTAAAGTTTAAGATAAACTATTTCCTACTCTGGAAGTACATTATAATTGTAATAGTACCTTGATGATACGAAATTGCCAAGACTGGTCAGTTTTTAAAGATATGAGGTTATAATTCACGAGAGGAATATATCTGGCGAAGCTTATGTTCTTATACCTATCAAAACATTACCTATACTTGACGGACAGTACAAAAATCATCATTACAATAAAAAGTTTCATAATGTTAAGATTGCATAGCATATGTTGAACAACATTGCACAGAGTGTAATTTCTCAAAACAATAACCTTCAACTCAAATAAGTTAAATGTTTAGCTCACAGACGGATGGGGAAACTTGGAGGTTGATATATGAAGGTAATGATTTTGATAACTATAAATAGTTTTTGGCTATGGCTCAAGACGTGTTTGCATACTACATGTTTTTCGAGTGACAGTGTCATATTTCTGTTTTCTGAAACTTAAACCACTCTTAATTAAAAAAAATATATTGAATAAAATATAAAACAAATGAATATATCGAACCAGAAATGTCATAATGGCATATATCCCCACTTCTAGCTCTTGACTCATACTATTGGTAACTTTGTTATAGAAATATGCCATAAATGGGTACATGGAAGTGTTCAGTTATGGAAAAAAATAATGACCAAAATATGACCTGAAATTAAATGAAATCTATCATAAGTAAGTTAAACAAAATAGCTGGGATAAATATAATATCATATAAATGTAACTATTAGCATCTAATTTGATCATTTTAACATTCAAGATTAGTGTGACCTCTGACCTAATGACCTCAAAATAAATAGGGGCATCTACTAGTAATGATCAATTAAAATGTGAAAACCAAAAACTTGATAACGAGTAATTTTGAAGATAATGAGTGGAAACCATCCTGACATTAAACGTCCTTGTGACCTTTGATCTAAAGACCTCAAAATCGATAGGGGTAATCTTATAATAATAACCGATCATTAAGTGAAATATAAAAGATTAAGTGATAAATAGTTTTCAAGATAATGAACGGAAACCATTCTGACATTTAAGGACCCTGTAACCTAAAAAATAGTATAGCTTTGTGATAAATACTTTTGAAGATATTGTGTGGAAACCATTTTGACATTTAAGCCCCGGTCACCTTGACCTCTGACCCAGTGACCCCAAAATAAAAAGCGTCATCTACTAGTTATGACCAATCAATATGTGAAATATGAAGACTTTGTGATAAATAGTTTTCAAGATAATGAGCGGAAACAGATCTGAAATTTAAGACACCTGTGACCTTGACCTTTAAGCTAGTTACCCCAAAATCAATTGGGGTCATTTAATAGTAATGATCAATCAATATATGAAATATGAAAACTTTTTGATCAAAAGTTTTTAAGATAATCAGCGAAAACAAAGTGGTCTAACGACAGATAAAAACATATTTAAGGTCTCTGTGACCTTGAACTTTGACCTTAAGACCCAAAAATTGACAGGGGTCATTTACTAGTAACGATCAATCAATATGGGAAAAACAATGACTTAGTGATAGATAGTTTCCAAGATAATGAGCATTAACCATTCTGTTATTTAAGGCCCCTGTGACGTTGACCTTTGCACTAGTGACCACAAAATCAATGATAGTTATCTACTACATATCACTAATCAATTTAGAAATATGAAGACATTGTGAGACATACTTTTCAAGATGATGAGCGGAAACCATTCTGATATTTAAGGTCCCGGTGACCTTGACCTTTGACCATAGTGACCCTTAAATCAATAGGCATCATCTACTATAGTTATGACCAATTAGTATGTGAAATATGAAGACTCTAAGATCAATAGTTTTTAAGATAAGATAGTATCTGCGGTCTACCGATGGACTGTCCAACTGACATTAGCAAATCAATATACCCGCTCTTCTTCGAAGTGTGGCATAATAAAAATTACTAGGGCCGGGAATAGGCTAATTGATGTTCGAATATTCGTTTTCCATGTTCGAATATATTCGAATATTCGTTTTTACAAACTTTGAGAAGACACCACCTATGATGCCATCATTTGTATCTGAACTTCTAGACACACCAGATTTGAAAACATTCACACTATGACTCTTTTAATTTGTTGCACAGATATCTTTATTTGCTGGTGTTGTCCCAAGTAATCTCAATCAACACGAAAGATTTCCAGAATAGAATGCGATAACATAAACAAAAAACTTCCCAAACGGGAAGCATTTAATGGTGAATATTTTGCTAGATGCCTGATCAGGAAACAGTATTTACAAAACGGGAAGCAGCTACTATTTAGTAAAATTGTAAAACTTAAATTAAATTGACTTTCAGATTATTTTAATTTTAGACATTTTAAAGAAATTGACTTGGTAGGATTCTAGGGGTATCTTTTCTGCACTAAAGAATGAGATTCATAATTATTGAAGTGGGTGCACCGGCCATTTTTCCTAAACTACGTAAACAAAGGCCAATAAACTTCCCGATCGGGAAGGATTTTGACGTTTGCTGCCTGATCGGGAAGCCTTGAAGGGGATTCCCCTTGTTTCCCGATCAGGAAGTATGCCCGACTGTTTAATGTACTATTGTTTCATTGAATAAATATTTTATATACATGTTTTATATACATGTTATGTTTTGTTATGTTAGCAATTTTTCGGATGTATTAGTTCATCTTGTTATACTGCCAGGATAATTTTAACAAATCTGAATGATGATAAAAGGAAAAGCAATACCAACATTAACCGATTAATGCAAGCTAACTATACCACTGTCAGGAACAGTCGTAACAGACAACTGTTTGCTGAAATTTCTTGAATTTACATGTGTTTTTCTTTTGTTAAGGGGAGTAGGCAATTTGGAACGAAAAGTTTAACTCATTTTGAAGAAAGTAAATCAGTTGCACTGACGATTCATCAAACAACCTTTGACGACAGCGGACTTTACAGCTGTGTTTATAACAGTAAAATATACTCCTCTGTGAATATAAGTGTTGGAGGTAAAAAAGTTATACATTCTACTTTTTTATTTATTCTACATAAAATTTTTGATAATAATAAAGAATCATCTAAATTTGTTAGGTAAAATCATAGGTAACTTGTTTTTTAAAGTGCAATAAGCTAGATTGCTTGCAACCTGATTAAAATCAGCTCCTAACTAATGCTACGATACATGCTAGAAAAAAACTTAAGTAGATCTGAACTTTAGCCAGATTTGGAGGATGATTATCTATATGGACTCAATGTGAATAATATGTGTATTTGTATTCTATGTATTTAGTCCTTTTTATGATAAATGTATGACACTATTGTTGATGATAAAAGTTTTATTATAAAATCAGCATAGAATTATTTCATGAAATACTAAGTAATGGGCAATTTTGAAGAAAATGTTTTGTTGAGCTTATTTTTAAAGTGTAATATCTGATGCTTGTATGTCGCACAAGGTCTTGAGAAGTTAGTGCTAATTAGTTAGCTGCGTCAGATTGTCCAATTTTATTTAAGGTATTGCTGGTACAAGTAATCTTGTTAGTATAATTGTGATTAACATTCTTATGTGAAGCACAAGGACTCGACACAGTGATTGGATAGTGGAAAAAGTAATATTATAAAAACAATACTGTATATATGATAAAATTATATAGACAAGGGTTCGAATACGCCAAATGGGCCGAATGTCACTAGTCCAGTATACCGATATGTCAAAATTGCAGTGTTGTTCTTACGTTTATCATGTAAAGCTTCATATCAAATTAGTGTTAAATGACATCACTAAACGTTGACAATAACATTATTGTCCCCTCATAAACGGTTTTTAACAACAAACCGACATGATTATTGTACCCACATAAACGGTTTTTAACAACAAACCGACATGAAAATATCGTATTTTTGCTTGGATGGACAAGACCTCGCACCTCAACCCCACTTGATTTTCTACGTGTAAAACCGCAGTTCAAAACCATGCCAGTGAAACAAACTGTAATAAATCGATAAAAAACATTCAAAGAAACAACTTACGGCTGAAAATTGATTTTTAAAATATTCTTAACATCTGTAGATAACTAATTTCTGAATGCGAAAATGAAAATTGTAATCAGCATCAATTAGCTATCCCAGAACTCCAAGCATGTAGTTGTCATAGGATGTTTTAAGAGTAATTGCTCAAACTAAGCACGCGCCTCTTCAGAGAAACATCATTTAGACTGCAACATTGTTCTTCAAGTTTTTTATCAGTTAAGATTTAGAATTGTTTCAATCATATTTCCATATGGAAGTTGACAACGAAGGAAACAGAGTGTGTCAATGACTTTGCATAAATGTTTGTAAAGACCCCACGTTATTGCAAATGGAATAAGAAAAATGTATCCATTTCAGAAAGCCCAGGAGCGCCAACGGATTTATTTTGCGTTTCCTTGTTTGATTATAGAGTGTTGGCATGTTATTTTAAATTGAGTGAAACAAATATCCCTACAACTACGATTATGAAATTCCGAAGGTATGTGTATTGTCAGCACATTCATTTCTAGCTATTACATTCATTACCTTTGTCATAATAACGAATTTATCAAAAATTACAAGACATTCTACTTTCACAGATTTTTAATTCAATTCTTTAAATTTATATTTACGTCGCAGACATAGAAAACTAGTTAATGACATTGTATTATTGCTTTAGTAGTCTCAACATTGCCTTTATTTTCTAAGTTACTTTTCTAACCGTAATGTCAGCCATACATCCGGTTAAATAAGAAACTGTTAACAAATATAAGATGTTGCAGCAATTGATTCAATTAGTATGGCTCAAATTAATAATTTGTAATTTTATAAGTCTAATGAACTTGTGATAAAGAATAAAGTAAGCTATCTGTAATAATGCAGGCAGTTTTATACCAGATCTATGTATTGTGTCATTATCGAATATGAAATTAATGCTAAAAAACTTAATTATTTATTTGAGATAGGAAGGGGGATAAGTGGAGGACTTTAAAAAGATCAAACTGTAACATTGCAGAGGGGAGGTGCTGGTTAGGTAGCATATTTGATGAACATGATGAACCTTCTAAGTTCACTATTCTGAGAGGTGTTAATTATAAAATGCGCGTTGTGACACGAAATAAACTTGGCAAGAACTCAAGTGACATAAAGATTAAGGATATTCATGACATAGGTAAACAAGATTAATTTTGATGCAACATTTCAAAGTCGCCACTCATGATTTTGTTAACAGTTTTGAATGAAGAAATAAGATTTCATAATCATTTCTTATAGCATTATGGTCAAAATACTTAAGACAATGTGAAAATTAGTGCAATTTTCCTCAAGAAGTCACATTCATAGGTTACATTCACATTGTCATTTATATGCCTTTGATGCTGTATGTTCAGAATCGTGAAAATTCAAATTTTATAATTCATATGTTGGTGTTTGAAAATATTTGTTATTTATTGATAAAGTAAAGTGCTCATTTATATAATATAGTGCTTATGAATAAATTTCTTCTAGTTCTCTATTCATTTTCTTAAAGTCTGTATTTATTGATATTTTAAGAGACATAGATAAATATTTTATGTCAACGTAACCAATAAGTGCCACGGCAATACAAACAGCCGCCGGACTCGAACCGAGGGTTCCAGTATGCTGATCACTAGTTAGCACGAAGAAAACGCAACGTTCGCTATGTTGTAGTTGTTAGCATTATAGAACTAGACTTTTATCCTACCTTCAGTTAGACCACGTCCCGCCGAAAGCGTACATTTTACACATGTGACTAGTACTAGTGTTTCACTTCACTGGATATGCCCAGAAGGACTCAGATATAGAGATTTAACATTGGTTCATATAGACTATAGAATTACAGTAGCATCGGACTTGCACAAAGAAGAATATGTAAGTAATCAGATTGAAAATTATGAGGAACAAAATGATACATTTTCAACCGATTTCATTTCATCGTTTATCATTTAATACATAACTTTTGTTATAAATAAATAAATAGATAAATAAATAAATAAAAGTTTAAAGCCTATGGAGATATTTATTTGATGAAATGGGTGTACAGCATTCCCCGAATACAAATGATCTCTGTTTAAAAAATAACAATGAAATATGAAATGTGTTACTGCAGGAAAGGTTGTGAGAGAGAAGTCTGTTTTGTTTTGTGGGTTTTTAGCTCACCTGAGCATATGCTCAGGGTGAGCTATTAGGATCACTCTTCGTCCGTCGTCTGTCGTCCGTCGTACGTCGTCCGTTCACACTTTTAAAACGACATCTTCTCTGAAACCATAAAGCAGATCATAATGAAACTTCACAGGAATGTTCCTTGTGTGAAGCCTTAACAAAGTTGTTCAAAGAATTTCATTCCATGCAGAACTCTGGTTGCCATGGCAACCAAAAGAAAAAACTCTAAATATATTCTTCTAAAACACCCAAAGAGCTTGAGCTTAGATATTTGGCATGAAACATCTTCTAATGAATATTTACCAAGTTTCTTCAAATAAAATCTCAGGGAGTCATTGATTTTCCCTATATGCATATAGTAAAAATTTAAAAAATCTTATTTTAAAGAACCCAAAGAGCTAGAGCTAAGAAATTTAGCATGAAACATCTTCTAATGGGTGTCTAACATGTTTTTTTTTCAAACAAAAGCCCTGGGGTCAAAATTGGCCCCGCCCCGGGAGTCATTGATTTTTCCTATAATTATGCATATAGTAAAAACTTAAAAAATCTTCTTTTAAAGAACCCAAAGAGCTAGAGCTATAATATTAAGCATGAAACATGTTCTAAGGACGTCTACCAAGTTTGTTCAAATAAAAGCCCTGGGGTCAAAATTGGCCCCGGCCCAGCGGATATTGATTTGATTTTCCTTATATGTGTATAGCAAAAACTTAAAAATCTTCTTTGAAAAAAAACCCAAATAGCTAGAGTTTAGATAATAAGCATGAAACATATTCTAGTAAGTGTCTACAAAGATTGTTCAAATAAAAGCCCTCGGGTCCAAACTGGCCCTGCCCCAGGTGTGTCATTGTTTTTAACTACATGTGTAAAGAAAAAACTTGACCAGCTAGACCTTAGATGTTTAGCATGAAACATCTTCTAATGGGTGTCTACCAAGTTTGTTCAAATAAAAGCCCTGGGGTTTAACAGGCCCGCTACTGGGGCCTATATACAGGTGAGCGACTTCAGGGCCATCATGGCCCTCTTGTTCTTTTTTGTTGTTTTTTTTTTGGTTTATTTGTTTTGTAACTAATTTTACTAATTAATGTCAAATTAACACTGTATCCTACAAAAAGTTGTTACTGAAATTTCAGTATAAAAATAACAGCTTAAGATGTGCCGAACACATGGTTATAGCTGGCCTAAAACCTTCCACCCATTACACTGTTACTGTTCAGGTCAAACCTTCAGCCGCTACTAGAGATATATACTGGAGTATCATCAGAACCAAAGTTTCATTTGTCACTAACAGTACAGGTACTTTTTATATTTTCAAATATCATATGTTTAGTTTTACAAGCTGTATGAACTACATATTTTATCAGAAAGTAATTGATTGAGACATACTTAGTTCGTTTAGTTTTAAACCATGTCTAATTAAGATTGTATCAATACATTTTTAGAAAATAAATTTGTTGATGCACTGTTTTAGTGTTTACGAGTATGATATTCTTACTGAAATATAAATATGAACATGTACATTCTCACTTGTCATAAATAGTTTATTATTCACAAGTACAGTTCATAGACAGTAGAATGTTACACGTGGAACTTTAATCTCAAAACTGTTTCAAGTTCCGTCGTGTCGAAAAACCTCAATGGAGTCCCACTAATATATGTTATATTTTAGACACCCAAAAATTTGACGTGAAGTTTGCGGCTGTTGCTGAGGTTGCCGGAGCGACGGTGTCTGTAGTGGTAGTTTGTTGTCTAGTTGTTGTATTGTAAGTTTATTCATGAATTAATTTGCAAAAATTAAGACTGCACTTTTTTTTCAACCTGTGACATTTGTCAACAATATACATTGTTACGAGCCAGGCGTAACGAGAAAGAAAAGCCAGCAACAAACTTGTAACAATAACAAATTTATTACAGAAAAATTATTAAAGAAAAAAAAAATAAAATAACAAATTATCTTTATAAATACCTGAAGTCCAAATAAAAATTACAAATGTCTAGTCTGATCCTGGAATGATCCTTTTTTAATAGCACAGTTAAATCCAAGTTAAATCCAAGAACACTTTAGAATAAATTCCCACAATAAAATCCACAAGAATAATTAATAATCCAAGCTCCAATAAATCACTTAATTTCCAAGTTGAATAATACTCCAAATATATTGATTTCTAAAAGATCACTGATGACTTAAAAGGTAACTGATGACTTCCAGATCAGATTAATGAAAAATGTCTCCTTATATATATTAACTAAGAAGTTTCCAGAAAGGTCTATTATGTTCTCAAGTAATCATAATCTAGCAACTTCAACAATAAAGATCATTCCAGAAGTTTCTATCTAAATATAATGCATGAGTTTTCTACAACAGTTAAGAACCTTCTAGTACATACATGTATTTTATGTTCTAAAAATAGAACAATGATAATATTGGAAATACCAACTGGTCAGATATAAATTATATACATGTAATATGTTGCATACATAACAACATCAATATATAACAATGTAGTTTATCAACAGTTTCTTAAAAATTTATTCCACAAAAGTATAGATTATTAGACTCTTTTAAAGAATAAAGAGGCTATTTAAAGCAGAGACTGCACCTAAAAAGACAAAGATATTTAGCATAATTTATAGTCTTATAGATTCCTTTGTTTTTTTAGAAATATTTTTTTAAAGCTTTTATTTTGAAGACAAAAACGTAAGCGAAACGTGGTTGTAAGGAAGAAAATTTGACAGCATTGACGTCCTTATATGTCATCTTGTATTATCCAATAAATACTATAAGACAATACAAATATGTTTAATTCGTATCATTAAAGAGCATTTTATGGGCGGAGAAAGTATACAGTGTTTAAAGATAGAAACAGGATTGCAACTCCGGTAAGGATTTTTAACATATATATTATGTGTAATATTAAATTTTGTAAGAATTATTTGACAGCTACTCTACTCTTCTGCTAGGCTTTTGCCATGTGTTTCAAAACTTTCCTATTGTTTGTAAACCAAAGTTATCAATGGTAAATATTCATGAATGTTTATGTGTTCTAAATATCTAGGAACAAAGCCAGATCACATTGATAGGTATGCCGATATGATAACTTAATGATCCCATAACACATTTTCTTTATAGTTTTATTTCATAAATATGATGCTCAAAATAAGATTTGTCAATATTGTAAGTTCCAATAAGCATTATTTATTAAGATATTACCAAATTTAACATTTAATGTAAAGAAAGGGAGGTAATTAGAAATTTATTTTCTATAGATTCTAAGTCAAATTTTCCAAAAAATAAATGAATGCATATAATTTATTGATTAAATGTAATGTGCACAAATATTTGCATTACATAGTTTACATATTCTTCCATGTTTGAAAATTGTTTATTTTTCATTTATAATTATTAAGTGTGGTACACACACAGTAACAAAATCAATCACAAAACACACAGGATCTTTAATTACAGCATTCTATCAAATAAGCTCTAATGTAAACAAGTATTTTAATGATATCTCTTATATCTAAATATAATGTTACCTTATTTGGCCAAGAGATTGATTAAACTTTATGTTAAACTGATTAGAATTAAAGTACTTTTTCTAGAATTTTACATAATGTATTTCTGCATACATCATTGTTTTACTTTAATAAAGCTATGATATAGTGTACTGTATTTAACAATTCCAGGATGAACATAATGACAAGATAGGGACTGACTTTATTGTACTTGAAGGTATCGTTCTATGTTTTATTCTTCCTCGGAACCTCCATATGTATTCATTTTAATTCATTGTATTAGGTCACACATTATTTAACACTTTTCGTTTATCTTATCTCGTTCCTCTTAATGAGTTATAATGTCATAGGAACATTTTTGAAAAGAGAGGGTCATCTTGGAACAATACTGTATTAAAGAACGTTTAAGACAAAAAAAATATTGCAATAAATAACAAAATCCCTCAATAAAGAAAGAGAAGTGTATCTGATATCTCTGAAACAGTGACTTTGAGGGTTCAATTAGCTTAAAGGGTATAAATCTATATCTTATGAAATATTTTAATAAAATTTATCAACAGTAAAATAATATTGGTTCCGTTATCATATAGTTGATTCTCGAAAATGATGTAACATAGAATGTCTCTGTTATTAAATACACATGAATAATGTGCGTTAACAATACAAAAAGTTTCCGGAACAAAGTGTTATTTTGCTAATTTTTTTTGCATGCGACATTCGCTTAAATCGCAATAAATTATTATATTTATTTCATACTGTAAGCATTTTGGAAGAAACTTTTTAAAAATTAAACAATATTTTTGTACCAGATATATAGTTTTATACACTTTAATTTTATCCAACATAAATTCATATAACTTTTGTCGGTCAATAGTAAAATCATGTGAATGAATGATGTCGGTAACGAGGAATATTATAATAATCACTACAACTTGAACTATATCATACACAGGGGATTTATGATTAAGTTTATGCATGAAAAAGAAATCATTCAAAATTGCGATCAATAACATATTAGATAGATAGTGTTACATAACATGTAAATATAATAGACCATTTAAAGATGCTAGAAACTGGCTGGCAATAACATAAGTTGAATATATATTTAGTTAAAAATGTTTACCTTTACTGACAGTAATGTGGATTAGAACTTTGCGACCAATACTGTTTTTTTATCATACCACAGATGACCAGGAGAACATAAGTGACAGTGGGAATTTCTTGTCTTTTGCCGGAAAAAAGAAGTACATCATCTGATAGTACTGAAAAACTCTTGAAGAAAAATGTTAACAACAATCACTCAAATAATACAACAATCAACGGCAACTGTATTCTATCAAAGAAGGTAGGTCACCAGTTAACCAAAAAATGAAAATGATTGCATAAAAGCGTGTGACGATAAAATATGCAATGATAGTGTCCACCTTGTGACAAGAGAAAGAAATAGCGTTTTGATACCGGGGCTAAATAAAGAAAATAATGTCTCCGCTTTGCCAGAAGAAGAGAAAAAGGATTTGATACCGGGTATAAATGTACAAGAATTCGTCTCCATTTTACCCGGAGAAGAAAATAACGTTTTGAGAACAGAACAAAACATACAAGATTACGTCTTCACTATGCCTGGAGAGGAAAACAATGTTTTTTGATACTGGGAAATTTGATGTCCATGATTACGTCTCCACTATGCCTGGAGAGGGAAACAATGTTTCGATACCGGGAAAATGGTGTCCATGATTACGTCACCGCTATGCTTGGTGAGGAAAACAATGTTCCGATGCCGGGAAATGGTGTCCATGATTACGTCTCCTCTATGTCTGGAGAGGAAAACAATGTTTCGATACCGGGAAATGATGTTCAAGATTACGTCTCCGCTTTACCAGAACAAGAGGATGATGTTTTGATGCCAGGACATAATGTGCTAGATTACGTCTTCGACATTCCAGAGGAAAATAACGTTTTGATTCCTGGAAACTATGTACATGATTACGTCTATGCCATGCCAGGGGAAGAAAATGATGATAGCACAACGCAAATTTAAATATCCAGCAATAACTTTATAAAGGCTTGACGAGCCGCAGAAGAATTAGCAACAGATATCATATGTTTTATTACCAAGTCTTATACAAATTGAGAGAAACTTATAAAATTAAGGCTGTAGCAGCACCTAAAGTTATACGTTTAATATATAACAGGAACGTTATACGTTAATTATTGATATACCTGTGTCCAAATAATGAACTGATCTAAAGTTATATACTAGTATAAAACACAATTGTACGAATGTTAGAAGGAACAGAAAATTGTTATTAGTTAAAAAAAATGTGGAAAATGGGCAACCCCTCGAAAAAAAACATTCTTATATGAAAATTGCAGACTCGGTTTAATGGGGATTGTACGTGAGGGACGCACGAAGTTTAAAAGATTGCACAATGTTTGGTCTTGCTGGATTTGCATGGATCCGTTAGCAGATTCTAATTGGCAGCAAGCTAGCTTTTACAACTCAACATAAGAGGGCCGCGTGTAGTTATCATGTTTACTTAGTATTGAACTGCGATAAAATATTTAGAAAAAAATATGAAAGTTCTAATTGCGTATAATGGAAGGGATAGATTTGGGCTTATGCGATATTGTTTTAAGTAATAGAAATAGGTCAATATTACACTCTCTGTATTATTTCATTTTCTTGTATATTATCTTATGTTATCATATGTATACGTAATGTTTATTTTGCTTCTGAATTGTTTTTTACTATTAATTTAAGAATTTATAAACCGATATAAATATCTTTATCATTCACAATATGTGCATGTTTATATAATTATATTTACATGCGATGTGTCAATAAAGCAAAGTTCAAATAATTTTCTTCTAGAGTAATTCAATATGTTCTGGCACTGGGTTCCAATTTTGTAACTGTTACGTTTTAATTGTTTTCTATTTCAAACCTTCAAAGTATTCCCCCTCTTCCGAAATGCATATTTTTATCTCTATCCCTGGGAAAAAACACAGGTACTTCAGTCAGAACAATGAGGCGGATTGTTTACAACTTTAACAATTTCAGACGCCAAGAAAGACTAAACAATCTGTTTTTGTGTTATGTATAAGATAGACTACTGGTCATCTTTTTCATAAACCTTTCTTTTTGTAGAACGCTTACACTTCTTTCAGTACAAAATTCTTGTAGAATTGTCCAATACTTGGTGTGACTAGATAAACAAAGCACTTGAACGGCTGGTTCACTGGAATAAAGGAAACTCGTATACAACGTCTTCATTGTACTGATGGTTCTATCCGTTTTTAATCGTTTCTTAGAACCAAAACGCTTGATCAGAATTAAATGTATACTGCCTTCTGATATGCCAGTGCAACTAGCCATTTCCTTCACTGACATTCTTGCATCCTGCTTTACTATAACCTTTACAGCGGCAATGATTGTTATAGTAACCGAGGTTGTAAGGTCTTCGTTTACGTAAGCGGTAGACATCTTTCATAGACAATTTCCCATCTTTAAAAGCTTTGACCAATCTAAAGATTATGACTTGATATTTAGGTCCGTGCATGTACTATATACCTCACAATTCATTATAGATCTGCAATGCAGCTATAACAATCATAATGCGACATTTGATGTAGCCTTAATTCCTGTCCATTTTATAATATGGTCAGTAAATTGGTCATTTTTTTGTGTACACAAAAGTTTACAATCTTTGTCTAAATATGTGAATATGAATTTAGAATATGAAATAAGTGAATATAATACAAGATAAGAAGTAGAATTTGAAACGTCTTGATGGCAAAGTTGGCAAAGTCGTTATGATGCGATTCAACTTAAATTGTATCAAGAGTTCGAGTCCCATAAGTTATTTTTTCCCCTTTTTTCAATTTTATGATAAATGCAAACGAATTGGAATATCAATGTAGTTTTGTTATAATATCTAATACTTTTAATATACCGGGATTAATATTTGTATTCTGTGTTTTGTGTAGTATGTAGTAGTCACAGTACTTGTGCAGTGCACGAGTATTTCTTGCCAACTGAACTTTAATTGAAAATGCAGTATAAGGTTGCCTACATTAAAACAAAAGAAAAAAGTGAAATGAGAAGTAAATAAAAACTAACACAACACTCGTAATCCTTACAAGTAAAAAACAAACATATTTCTTCATACAGGAACAATTTTTGCGAACCGAACCTGTCTTGCATTGATATTCAACTGGGAATTTAATTGACAGCCTTACCTCGTAGGAACTCTGGAACAGGCCCGCATATTGCGGCGCATAAATCTGAATCCATACCGGCTTTAAATATTGTTTGTCCGACCTTTGAATATCTTTTCATATTATGCGAGCGGGTGGTCTTTAATTATCTAATCTCACTTTGTAATACCGTAAAATTTGACCAGTTTTAAAAGAGACAGATTGGGTTCAATTGATAATATATTTTTTGAGGCCATATACTCGGATAACTAAAAGATATTTAGATGTAGCAGAAACGTTTTTAAAACCGTTACACGATCGAAAATATGCGCCGCAATCTGCGGTCCCGTTCTCGAGTTCCTATGCCTTACCTATTGCGTTACGTGGACAGTTGTTAAATTTATTGATATTTTAATTTATATCGTAAAAAGATGATAAATACAATATGATAACTGTTTAACACCGTAATAGTGGACTTGACCGCCGCATCACTAAATAATGATCCAAACGTATAGAATATGACTGCATGTATTTCGAATTGAAATGTGGCAGTCAATTTACAAGCAACTGTCATTAAACAAAACGTTATTGATAGCTATTGAAAACCTCATTTAAGTGCAATGGAGCGTTTTAAAATACTATTAGACACCTCATGCATTTTATTTTGATGGTAAACACATGTATATTTTTGTAATAATAAGTGCAATTCCAGAATGACCATCAGATGATAACTTATATCGGAATTCATTCAAAAAGACATAGGATCGTGTCTACTCACTGAGTCCCATCATTTCTTTTGTAAAAGTGGTCAGGTTCTATAAGAATCAATATAAGGTTAAACGAAAATGAAAATGACATTATGATCAGCAAATAATACATAGTGACTAAACAGGTGAAAGTCAAAGTAAGAATTCATTTTGCAATATTTATTTTCATTTTTTATTGTCCTAGAAGGGAAAGCATATAGTCGCCGCTTTGTCCATCCGTCCATTTGACCGGGACTTAACTCTGAAACTTCAAGAGGTATCAACAAGAAACTTTGTAGGTTGATAGATCTCATTGAGTAAAAGTGAGTTAATAAGAACCGTAACTCTGTCTTGCCTATTTTTGGAGTTATTGTCCTTTTTTTATTTTTACACTTTGAACATTGTGCAGGACATAACTCTTAAACTACAAGAGGTATCAACAAGAAACTTTGTAGGTAGATAGATTTCATTGAGTAGAAGTGCAGTGCACAAGTATAGTTATACTTCCTTGCCTAATTGTGGAGTTATTGCCTTCTTTCATATTTACACGTTGAACTTTGTCCGGAATAAAACTCAGTAACCACAAGAGGTATAATCAAGAAACTTGGTATGCAGGTAGGTGTCTTTTAGTAGAATTGTAGACACAAAAACCGTTACTTTGTCTTGCCTTATTTTGTAGTTATTGCCCTGTTTCCTTTTTACATTTTGAAATTTGTCCGAAATATTACTCTAAACTACAAGAGGTATCAACCTGAAACTTAGTATATACATAAATCTCATTAAGTAGACGTGCAATGTAGAAAAACCGTAACACTGCCTTGCCTAGTTTTAGAGTTATTGCCCTTTCTAGCTCGACTTCAACGTCAAATGTCTAAAGTTTGCTTGTTTTTATTGCTATTAGTGGCTATAATTTTGATATTTTTGAATGGATTGTCTTCAAACTTGAGCATAATAATTTTTAGGATAGACCTTTAAGTTGACAAGACAGACATTGACCTTCACTCTAAAATTGCCTTGGACTTGAAGGTCAAATTATTGAAATTTTCATTTTTTTATGCAACTGGCTGTAACTTTGTTGTCTATATATAGATTAACTTCATATTAATTAAGACACAGCATTCTTTACGATAAAACCTTCATGTACTTGTATATTGAACTCAAATTGGCCATGGCTCTTTTATGACCTTGATCTTGAAGGTGAAATTATTAAATTTTCACTGATATTTGCTATAATTGATTTTAACTTGTAATTGTTAAATGAATTATCTTCAAACCAGACATGTCATCTTAAAATGTTGAACCCACCTTGACCTTGAGCTTTATTTGACATTGACAGTCCAGGTCAAAGTATTGAAATATGGTTAAGTGGTCATATTTATGTTATTTATTTTAGGAAAAAAACAACACTTGTTACCAAACAGACATGTGGAATAATTTAGATATGACCTTGACGTTTAAATGACCTTGACTGTCAAATGATTAAATTTCTATAACACTTTCTTAACTTTGTCATTTATTTATGGAAATAATTCATACTTGGACAAAACAACAAATTTGACTAGACAGACTTATTAAAATTCAAAAAAGGAAACAAGTTTTTGTTTTTTTTTATAATTTTCTTTTTAAAGATTTGTTTAAACCGTTTATATGCTTTTTAGAAAAATAAAAATGTCGTGTGTTTGGCTATTGTTCATTTTTACACATTGAACGTTTACTGGGACATAACTCTGAAACAACAAGAGGTATCAACAAGAAACTTTGTAGGTAGGTAGATAGATTTTATTAAGTAGAATTGCAATGGATAAAAACCGTAAATATGCATTGCCTGACTTTGGCGTTATTACCCTTTTTCACTTTAACACTTTGAACTTTGTCTGGAACATAACTCTGAAACTACAGAGATATCAATTAGAAACTATCTTTTTTGTGTCCAAAACCTATTCGGGAAGCATCACACCGGCTCTGTGTAATTTATTCCGCCAGAACGAGAAATAACTGACAGGACCTAAGGAAATTTCTGTTAATACCCAACAGAATTTACCAGTTAAGTTCAATTTATAAAAAGAGTGGAGCAGTCTTTTTTTCCTTAATGCAGTTTAGTATTTTATCCTAAAATGTTCCGATATTAACTTTTGACCAATCACCATCAGTCACTATCAGTCAATCTTTTGAAATTTATGGTCAATTCAGCTCAACTCGACGATGTAAATGCCACTTTAAACACGCGATTTGTCTGCATTTCTACGAGTATTCAAAACTATGCAATTAAAAACAGTTTTTGTTCGGCCGGGTATCTTTTTAAAGATACGTACTTCTTGTTTCGAATTTTGAAACTTGTGATGTTGGTGATTATTTTAATTCATTATGTACAAAACATTAAATAATTGATAAGTAAAAAACTGGCAGTCAAGGCGTAAAGAAAGGTAAAGCTTCATTATTATAATACGGTAATTATAAACTTAGTTTGGAGGTTGAAAAAATTATCACTGTTACTGACGTTGAAAAATATTTAACGTGTATACGACTATGACAAAATTTTGTAGGTATTCAAAGAGATTATCTTATACATTGTATGTATATACTGTGAAAATATTTTGGATGTCGAATATGTTAATTTGCAGTTTTATGTTACATTCTTAACAAATATTTACCTATAGTTATTATTGTCAACATTCTGCTCTTCGTAGCTGGAGTAAATCAATCAATCAATCAATCAATTCTTTAAAATGTTTAAATGAATATGAAATGTTAAGCTGAATTGCAGGTCGTAATCTATTATATTAATGCCATTTGATGTTGTAATTTCTTTCACCGTTTAATGTATCATGATATTCATATATGTTCTCGTGCTGGAGGTCGTATCATGCAAACAAATCGAATTGTTCATTAAACTTTCCGAATATATCCCAACTTCATTTCAGTCTTTTGTATCTTTAATTTGTCTCTGCTAAGAATAATTTTCCTATCTTACACCTTGTTACAATTTTAGTAAATTGTAGCCCAATAAATTCTGGTGACTTAATCCTATCACTTATGCCTTAAATAAATTATAATGCCGCGTGTGGTTGCTGTTATGCTCGTTCAATAATTAAAATTGTCGAAACTATTTTAGCGCATGTGATACCACCTCGGCGATATCTGGCACGGCGATATATATATATATATATATATATATATATATATATATATATATATATATATATATATATATATATATATAAATAAAACAAAAAACACAGTCCATGAGTTAACTTATTTAATTATTTGCCAACCGGTTTCTCTTATGTCATGGACTGTGTTTTTTGTTTTATTTATATGTGACTTTTTTCCGGCACTTGTTTTCATTTTTTGTATATATATATATATATATATATATATACCCGTATATGATACATTATCGTCAATACCCCTCTTCTACAGGCAGCAATCAAAGAGCTGCCAGTACTTAAGCGTTAACTCTGAGATTTTTGTGTTATTGATGTGGCAGGTGGTCAATAGGCAATCACGACATGGTGGCTCGAGCAATACATAAAGTTAAAATGATCTTGAAAATCAATCCAAATGTGTGCATTCCATCCATTGACAAAACAACAACAACAACAACATTTCACTCATGTTCGGCGTTAATTCCTTTTGTGAGTGGTCATCGTAAGCTGGTAATGAGAGTTAAATTGCTAACAACTATAATCCCAATATTCTAATTTATGTATCTGTGTCACTGGTATACATTCGATTGTTATTATATTGTTTAAACGTGTGAAAAGTGTTCTTAAAATAGTTACATAAACAGTAGTGTTACGCTCGATAGCTTTATTGGTTTACCAATTACGTATTTAAAGAATGCAAGTACATTTGCATATATATATAAGCTTCAATTATAGGAAATCTGCGTGGACATAGCCCAATAACCATCAGTATAATTATTACTTAGTATCACCTAATCATATATTAATTTAGAGAGTCATAGATGCTTATTTCATGACTTTCATTTTAGTTTTTTTAAGAAATTTTATAATTTATTTATTTGTTTTACTTCCGCTTGATTAGTTTCAAACTGTTCATGATTGATATCTAAGTTCTGGCTTCAATAACTTTACATGTCTCTTTTATTTTGGCGTTGTGCAACAGTCTAGCAGTACTATAAAACCTGTTCGCTGAAGTCTATTTAGCTAACTCCTGAAGATGATGCATTTGGGATGCTTTTAGAACCGTATCTTCTCGGTCCTTTAAGTGAAACTTTGGATAAGAAACTCGAGTTAATAGTAAACAGCACATTATTTATATTTATTATTATGGATGTAAACCGAAAGAACACAATGTCTACCTATTGAAATTTGTAACAACGTTGGTAGAATGTCTTAATACTCATAATGAGCATTTCAATTTGCAAACACTATAGGTGGAGAATTAACATATAGGAAAGTATCCCATATATAAGGGCATAAACCTGTAGCTTCTCACCGACAGGGTTTGGTGTTTGTGTGCCTTATAACGTTTCACATTTATCCGGATTTGCATGATTAAAATTGAACATCAGCATTGATTATGATTGTAATTATATTCAATCATATTTTTACCGAAATAGACTTTATTTTCTTTAAGATGTCAATTAAAATACATTAATCGTTACATTATAAAAAAAAATACACCTTCTGTTTTTGTTTTCATTTAAGACCACGTAGTAGAACTACTTTCAATCCATATAAAGTCCAAGGTTCAGTCTGATTAAAATCAGCTAAGGATTAGGATCTGACGATCACCAATAGGTTGTCACCTTCTCGTGACCTTTCAAACAGCCAATCATCGGCGAGCTTCACAATTTTGAAAGCGATGCGCTTTCTAATTTTAACTGCTGGAAAAATCAGTACTGATCGAGTAGGTAATTTTCAAGACAGCATTGTCCATCTACCCGTCATGTGAATTGGCAAAACAATCTAAGGGTCTATTATTTCCGGTTTGTTTGTTTCAAATTACTTCAAACATTTTGCTTTCTAATTTGTTTTACTTCCACGGACAACGATATTTTGATACTTCGTCTAATGACTATGTGTAAAGGACGTTTGATTGAATGGTTAAAAATAGCTTTCTCGGGAAATTCGATTCATAATGAAGGTTGAAATCAGATCTAATAATAGCCGCTTGTGATTCATATACAAGTTATTTATAGTATAAATCAAAGGATAGTCCTAAGCAACTATAAGAAACTTTGATTGGTTGTAATTTTGCTGACCAATCAAATCAGCTACTACATATGCAGAGCCACCTATGGTTTGACTAGTGCTGCCCCTGTCATCTTGGGGAAATTTTGCGGCACCCAGTCATTCTGCTGCTGCCGTTCAAGGAGTCAACATCTGGGAAAACTTTTAAAAAATCAAGGTATTTATTTAGGGACTTTTGCACCTATATCTTATAATTTAACTTCAATATTCGCTAAAGTATTTTATCATAGTCACATCTTTTTATCACATTGAGTTCAGAAACATTAAGCTATCAATAATTCACCACAAAAGTCTAATATCCAATATATATTTATTTTATATTTTATTTACATCAATAATTCACCACAAAAGTCTAATATTCCAATATATATTTATTCTATATTTTATTTACATGTGACTATGTAAGGGAATTGAACTGTGTTGTTTAAAATTCAAAGTGGATAGGTCAACAATTGGAACATTTCCATAAGTTTTTAAAAACTTGATAAAACAATAGAAATGGATCATATTCTTTAAAATTTGCTTGAAAAAAAGTTTTAAGTGATTTAGAATGAACAATTATATGATGAATTATTGGCGTCCGCGCCGAAGCGCGGCGCCCCTTTATGGAACGAAATCAGATTTTGTGAAAGGGCGACAGCAACTTCTCGAGCCTTTTAGTCGGTTATTATAATAAAAGCCGATCATTCCGATCGGTATGAGGGTGCTTGATTATTATTAATTAAAAATGAAATGTCGCGACATGTACAATGAATAGCGAACTGGAGGATTTCGCAATGCAAACACTCAAACATTTTCAAATGCAATAACCTTTTTCGTCTCTTCGGTTTTTTTATTTATCATTTTGTAGTACACAGTGGGTTACCATGGTATGTTAAAATAGAATGATGAGTTGATGACCTAAATATTCCGAAAATCTATTTATAGAGGGATGTACTCCTATCGGTAATTCCGGTCTCTCCCGGTCAATTTTGACCGGGATACTAGTGACCATATGTTTATTGTCCGGTCTCTCCCGGTTTTGGAGTAGATGTTTGATATCGTTACAGAACAGAACAAATATTTTACAGATAAATAAGCTTTTTTCCAAAATGAATGTTTGTCACTTAGTTTGGTTACAATAATTAATAAACATAGATCAACTCTCGAATTTATTGATTATTATTATACATAAACATACAATTCGAACAACAACAACAACAACAATAGCATGTTTCATTTTATCTATATGAGATAAAAACAATAAATATGTACAATAATTGTGAAAAAAGGTACATTTTTATGGTTTTAATATGACACTATCAACTTTGAAACATTTTATTTAATTTGTTTTTCGTGTTTATAGTAAAGATGACGAGGAATTATTCAAAGTTACAAATTAGATTTTATTAATTATTTAATTGATTGATAATTTAAAAAATGATAAAGAAAAATACAAATGTACATTGTTTAAGAATAAACAATATTATATATTGAAAGATTAACCATAATTTACTGACTATTTCCAGTTAAGTTTTGACTTATAATCGTCGGTCAATATGACAATTGAATTCTTAAAATTTATTTTACAATTTTAATAAAAAAAGAGAAGTAAACGTAAAAAACTCAGTATTAAAATAGCACATAAAAACACAAAAAATTAAGAGAGGAAAACAATATTCATAAAATCTGTATTTTTGTTATTAAAATAGATATTACAATTATTGTATAATAAACAATAATGCTCAACATGACATGGTAATATAACCAGTGTCATATTTTTACTAAGTGTGAACAGATACCTTAAGAGGAGGTCTTCGCTAATAGCGATTACATAATAAGGGACGATTCCACAAGTGTGGTGTTGATCATGCGTTACACATATGGATTATAAATGATTGTATACATGTATATCCGTTCTTCCGACTTCCCTTCGTGGCGTGCACGTCGCTCGGAAGGCATAGGTCATACCAAATGGGTGATCTAGTTAGGTCACTTAGCTGGTGTGACCTAACCAACGACGAAGGGTGTGGCCCTAAAGAGAGCTGCTGCTCCCGGAAGAGGTGCCTTTCCTCCTATTGTCATTTGTTCAACAAGCGAGAGAATTTGGTCCTAGAGAAGGTCTACGACGATCGACAGCTTGAAAAGACCTCCGTCGCGGCTCTACGACATCGACGACGTTGCAGGCGAAAAAGTCCTCCGTTGCAGGCTCTACGTTACCAGCAATCGTAATAGAGGCCGACTAGTCTGGGACATATGGGAAACCGGCGCCCAGTATAAATAAAACTAAAAACACACACACACACTATATCCGTTGCTATTAATAATCACGATCATAAAGAAATAACAAGTAATATTCTAATCTCTAGCATGCCAATCAAAGTTCATAATGAACAATGTCTTCCGTCCGTTCATTCTGGTAAAAACCAATTAACCATTGAAAAAGTATATAAGAATATCTTGACATCATATGTCTACTAGTTCATCTTCACTTTCTGCATTTCTTGCTTGGACGCCCTTTGATGCTTTGCATCAATGCTTTTCTTGTAAGTTTTTGTACTAGACATTTTATCATATGCTATACTGTAATAATAGCCTATATTGCAATATCGGATCATGTATCTCACACATGTATGCCAACAACTTCCATGCATAATTCTTTCGTGGCTTATTGAACATTATGTCTATTAACGTAATTATTCGATGTAATTTCCGTAATAGACCTGTTCAATTTAATCACGCCAATTTACATGTTAATAGGGTGTCAACTTCCGAAAATTGACGGAAAGGGTCGAAAAGTTGCGCTTGCTGAATACTACGAATCATCCGGGGTTTGACGGAAAAGACCGAAAAGTTAAAACTCCGCAGCCAATCAAATCACTGTGAAGAGTTTGCTAGAGTTCTCTTTCCTAAGTGAGCTTGGGAAAATCCCTGTAGACGGCACTTATTAATACGTCACAGTTCACAACTTTGGAAAGGATGGCATCACAACCGCACAGCAAAAAGCGAATTTGCTATTATTATGATGGTATGTTATGCTTTATTTTAAATTAAGTGTGTAAAATTTCGATAATTTCCTGATCATGTTCATTTTCAGGTTTTTACTTTCTCACACCTTTTACTAACACACCGACGCGCACAATTTCCTGCCTATAACACTCGCGAGAGGGGTTGGCAGTACTCAGAGATAGATAGATAGATAGAGAATAACATGCTACTTTCTTTTGATATCAATTTTATCAGGCGAGGTTGATATAGGCTAGAAAGGGCGAGGCTTGCCGAGCCCTTTCTGCCCATATCAGCCGAGCCTGATAAAATTGATATCAAAAGACAGTAGCATGTTTTTCTATTTATCATGTAACACATTATAACTGTCAAAATAACAAAATAATCTACTTTTAAATAGCGAATTTCGTTAAAAAGGGGTATTTTTGTTCAAAGAAATAATTCTTGAAAACAAATTCCTCCGCCCCTGAAACTTAGAATTTGTAATTGGCGGCCATTTTTTCTTTCGACTCGGATAAAAGATACAACAGAATGTAGGCCTAATTCGATAACATTCTTACCTTTAATTTAAACATCGATCCAAAAATCCGCTGAGAATCACATAAACTAAACTTTACAGCAATTTTTGTCTTGAATTGTCAAATTCAAAAGTTCACGATAATTTCAATCAAAGAAAAGTCTTGAATCGGCAATCAAACACAAGCTACACAAACATGCGTCTTATTTTTTAAACGAAACAATTTGTTCACTTATTAAATAATAATCAGGCGGAATAAAGTAAACATTTACAAGTTCTCAAAGAAAATCGTCTAGCCTGTTTGTTATGATTACATGTATAGTATGACGTGAACATCGATGATGTCATTTGCAATATAAATTATGACGTCACTTCATTTAGTTGGTTCTAAAACTATTCGCTATCTAATTTATTCGTAACTGAAATCGAAATAATAAATAAATAAATATCGCATCTTGATTCAAGACTTGTAAGGGTATGAGATGAGATTACATTGTAGAATTCACATGCTGATGAAAATGAGAATATAAGCAATTGAAAAAAAGTCCGTTAAAATGGGCGGGGCTTATTTTTGATATCAGGTTACTGACCTGATATCAAAAATAATTATCAGGCAAGTGTTATCGGGCAGTTACCATAGCAGTTGCATGATAAATAATTTTAAGAAACACTGTTCGATCCGGCGTAATTTCCAATAATAAGTACAATGTCATATCGCGCATTTTCGCGGCGGGATTTCCTGTTAGTCTGCCCACTGCCAGGTTTTAATTATTTCATTTAGTATCATATAAGCTATAAGAAATGCACAGTGTGCTTAAGTACATACTTTTTATTTACATATAGAAATAATGGTGACAAGCTTTTAATGTCATTGTTTCGTGATAGTGCTCTTTTATTGAGGAAATCACACTGACCTACTTTTTGAAACGCATGCAAACAATGAACTACGGAATACCATAAACCCGAATTTTATGTACCTTTTAACATGGTAATTGGTTTTCAGAAATAAATTTTTCACGGTGTCATTATGAAGGATACCATACTGGAATAATAACCTTAGTCATTTTTATAATAATCTGTTAACATTTTAAATAGAAAATTTGCATTTATAATCATTTTGAATAATAAAACGCTCGAACCACGGCTCCACAGTTGAGCTAAAGAAGGAAAAGTATGGAAGACTGAAATACGAAATATGTGCACCATGTTAACAAAGATAATTGTTCTCATTGTAACAATTTGAATGAAATTAAAACACTCATTTTGTATGTGATAAGGCTGTTAAATTATTATAAATATAAATGTTAATCTAATAATGTTTACTAGATATAAACCAAAATTTTGCGAATTGGTCAATAAATAATTATCACTAGAATGATTTTCTTATTTGTATGTGTGCGCGTGTGTATGTGTGTGTGTGAAATACAGTAGATCTATCATAAATCTGTTATTGTTTGAGTAACTATTAAAACAGTGCCATTTAGATAAACATTTACTGATTTAGTAGTAGTATCTTTATTTACATCTCATCATTGCATACATATATAAATAGTGTCTTTTCTAGGATTTGAAAAATAGGGGGGATTTTTATCTAAAAGTGAGAATTTATTACATTTGTTGATTTTTTTCCTTCCTTCACTACATAAAATTTCCCCCCTGACTCTGAAAAAATAGGGGGGGGGGATTCTCAAAAAATAGGGGTGAATCCCCCATCCCCATCCTAGAATAGACACTGCATACACATAATAAAAACATACATAGATGCAATGCAATTCCATATGGAAAGTATGCTTACATTTTTAGCTTGCTTGAGACTTTATAAAGTTTACTGGTTGGAGCGATAAACCAGACATTTGATAGATATTTTTGTTTTTCAAGAAACAAGCACATGGCCACCTAGTAATGTAGGAGCAGGACAGAATGTGTTACTAATTTTAAATTTAGTAAACTTTTAATGTGTGTCAAATAACAATAAGTTATTGTATACAAAAACTGTCCCTTAATGTTCTTTTTACTAAACTACCATCGGTACCCACAGCTAGTTCACTGACCACTTGGCACTGACTCAAGAAACAGTTTTGAAAATACAGTCAAAGTGTCAACAAAATATAGATCAAACATATGAAATGAAAAAAAAAAATGAATGGTGCTAATTAACTTTCCTGCTATTGAATTTTTACATAAAAATTACAGTGTTGACTTTATCTTCTGTAGTGGGGTAAAAAGACCATGTTTTGGATACCCCAATCGGGACCTTGAGACATACCAGATTCTATATCTATAAATTATTCTTGTAGTGTAATGTAAAGTCTTTGAACAGAAACTTTGTTTTTGTAGGTAAATATTTTAAATGTACAAAAAGTTAATTGAATTAATTATTGCAAAAAAAAATATGTGATTTAGTGTCAGAATTATCTCCCCAACCAGTATAAGTAAATTAATTTTAAGTTAGATCTACTTTATTTATTTTGAGTTCTTCTCTTCTCTTACAGGTGACATTGGCAACTATTAATATGGACAGGGACATCCCATGAAACCACACCGTATACGCATGACACATAATCTTATTCTTAATTATGGTCTCTACAGAAAGATGGAAATATATGTAAGATTTGAGTCCATGATTTTAAAATACATGTATAATTGCATGCACAAGACATGTTTGCATTTTTAGCTCGACTTTTTTTTTTTGAAAAAAAAAGTAGAGGTATTGTTATAGTCGGGTCGGCGTTGCCATTGCCGTCCGCAAACTTGTACCTGGATCATAACTTTTTTAGTTCTTGGTGTATTATCTTCATACTTGGCCACAACAACCCTTGGGACAAGACTTTTCAGTAGACCACACTAACCTTGACCTTCATCCATAAATGACCTTGACCTTCAAGGTTAAAAGTCCAATGTTTGCTTGTTCATGCTGTTATTGGCTGTAACTTTGTTATTTTTGAATGGATTGTCTTCAAACTTGAACATAATAATCTTCAAGGATATCCCTTTAAAATAACCAGCCAGACCTTGACCTTCACTCATAAATGACCTTGACTTTGAAGGTCAAATTATTGAAATTTTCATTTTCTTGGCTATTATTGGCTGTAACTTTGTTATTTTTGAATGGATTGTCTTCAAACTTGAACATAATTATCTTCAGGGATATCCCTTAAAAATAACCTAACAGACCTTGACCTTCACTCATAAGTGACCTTGACTTTGAAGGTCAAATTATTGAAATATTCAATTTTTTGGCTATTATTGGCTGTAACTTTGTTATTTTTGAATGGATTGTCTTGAAACTTGAACATAATAATCTTCAAAGATAACTGTTAAAAATATACTGAAAGACCTTGACTTTCACTCATTAATGACATTGTCTTTGAAGGTCAAATTATTGAAATTTTCATTGTTTTGGCGGTAATTGACTGTAACTTTGCTATTATTGAAGGGATCAACTTCATATTATAACAGAACAGATCTATCATCATCATCATCATCATCGACAACAACAACAACAGTGTTTCTATTTATAGAATTGCGTAATGTTTTTTTTATTTATAGAAATTGTGTAATGTTTCTATTTATGGAAATTGCGTAATGTTTCTATTTATGGAAATTGCGTAATGTTTCTATTTATGGAAATTGCGTAATGTTTCTGTTTATGGAAATTGCGTTATGTTTCTTTTTATGGAAATTGCATAATGTTTCTATTTATGGAAATTGCGTAATGTTTCTATTTATGGAAATTGTGTAATAGTTCTATTTTTAGAAATTGCGTAATGTTTCTATTTTAAGAAATTTCGTTATGTTTCTATTTTTAGAAATTGCAAAATGTTTCTATTTTTAGAAATTGCGTAATGTTTCTATTTTTAGAAATTGCGTGTTTATATTTATAGAATTGCGTGTTTCTATTCATATATATATACAAAATAGATAAACAAAACTAATGTGACAAGACATACCAACTAAATTTATAAAAAGGAAACGTTAAGATATGTTCAAACCTTTGTATGTTTGCGTTTAGAAAAAGTAAAAAGTCGCGCGTTGCCCCCGCCCGGCGGTGGCTCTTGTTACACACCCATTTTGATATACCCCCTAAAATCTGTCTCTCTGAAAAATCAGTCAATGTGTAATCTTAACAGTAAACAAAACAAACTTGTGCCATTTAAAGAAATGTACATTACTGTAATATTTGTAAAGTTTGGAGATCTTTTGAAATATATTTAGTTCCCTCCTTCGAAATTCAGGGATACTGTATAGGAACGCACTTGTTAAAGTAGAGCATGTAATACTGATTAACCCATTACTTCATATACACGCCTTTTAACGCCTTTTTCACCCCCCCCCCTTTTTGTTGTCTCAAATGATGAAAAAATGCCTTATTTAGGCCCAAAACACTTGTTTTTGTTTGAGAAATGTTGTTAAAAAAGTGACCTCTTTTTTGGCGCGGACCCCCAACCAAAATATACATCAGGGGGTTGCCAGAAGGGGGATCTGCCCCCTTCTGTTTGGGGGGTTTGAAGGGGGGAGTCCCCCTCATCGCCAAGAAAATTTTGGACTTGTGAGAGGATGTAAATGACCCCAGATTGATCATAAGGTAACGTGTAACCAACGCTGAAAAGCATTTGGCTCTATCTCAATCCATTGAGAAGTTGCAGCACTTTGAAATCAATTTTGATGGAAAAAATCAACGCAAAATAGTGGTTTTTGGCAATTTTGAGATGTCCCCTCGTTGCCATGGTAACAGAAAATTTAAGCCTGAGCATGTTGTTGCAAGGGCAATGGTCCAGTCAACATTTGTGCCAAGTTTGATTAGTGTTGAAGCAGTTTTTATAGTATTATAGCAATTTGAACTTGTAACGGGAGACTTTTCAATGAAAACAGCCATTTTTCACAAAATGCTCATGAAGTAATGGGTTAATGAAAAAAATAAAAAAATCTACAAAACAACAATTTTTCTTCAAATTTATATGACAGGCCATGTTTAAACATGAAAAAACGCGATTTAGGGTAATTTCAAGTATTTTCATCATTTTCTTTTAACCCATTACTTCATATACACGCCTTTTAACGCCTTTTTCACACCCCCCCCCCCTTTTTGTTGTCTCAAATGATGAAAAAATGCATTATTTAGGCCCAAAACACTTGTTTTTGTTTGAGAAATGTTGTTAAAAAAAGTGACCTCTTTTTCGGCGCGGCCCCCAACCAAAATATACATCAGGGGGTTGCCAGAAGGGGGATCTGCCCCCTTCTGTTTGGGGGGTTTGAAGGGGGGAGTCCCCCTCATCGCCAAGAAAATTTTGGACTTGTGAGAGGATGTAAATGACCCCAGATTGATCATAAGGTAACGTGTAACCAACGCTGAAAAGCATTTGACTCTATCTCAATCCATTGAGAAGTTGCAGCACTTTGAAATCAATTTTGATGGAAAAAATCAACGCAAAATAGTGGTTTTTGGCAATTTTGAGATGTCACCTCGTTGCCATGGTAACAGAAAATTTAAGCCTGAGCATGTTGTTGCAAGGGCAATGGTCCAGTCAACATTTGTGCCTAGTTTGATTAGTGTTGAAGCAGTTTTTATAGTATTATAGCAATTTGAACTTGTAACGGGAGACTTTTCAATTGTGGTAGAATTTTGCCTTTGACTCTCTTGCGGAATTGCGATCTTTCTTTTTACTTATTTTAAAAACTAGATAATTACATAATCTCAGTATTTACATATATATGTATACTGTTTGTCAGGATGACACCACCGGTCGACACTTATTTAAGACAAAATATATCAGTTAACTTGACCGGAAAGTTAACATTTCAGGTTCGATAATTTTACTCTCTAATTAATTAGGAAAAATTGTAATTTTAACTACATAGAGAAAAGAAACAACGGGCTGTTTTGATGAAATGTATTCAATAAACAAGATAACTCTTCAAATAAAACAACTTTACATACAGGGTGGAAAAGTGATGTTATGAAACAGTGCAAAATTATTTTGAACAAGTGATAACCAAGTTTGCAAAATGTGATTCTGAATAGAAATAATTGAAACTGATACTAAAATAGCACAAAGAATAAACAAATGGCAAATTACATTTAGACAAGCAAGAAAAACTGCTAAAGTTGACATGAGTTCACTTAAAGTTAAGTTCTGTTTCTAATTAAATGTAAAATGCTAAATTACAGAAGTAAAATAAGATGAAGAAATAATTTCAGCTATATCTACATTTATAAAAATAAATTCAAGTTTATTTACATTAAAACTAGTTTAATTGTTTCTCTATTAAAATGTTATTTGAATATTACTTAATTTAAGATAACAAATAACTGAGATCAGGGAAAGCGGTTATTCAGCTGAAGAATACCAGTTGGCTAATGGGAGGCTCACAGGTCCACCGATCAGGCTGTTCAACTGTATATTCTCATATAATACAACAGACAGTGTTGTAATCTCAGTGGAAAACAATCACTTTTCTGTTATATAAACAGTGACAAAGTCCCTGTTACAAAACTCTGATCTCAATAAGCTTCTAAATTTATACTAAAGATAAAAATGCCAAAAGATATGAAAGGAACTAATTAAGTTTAATTAATTAACTAAATGCCAAAAATATAAACCTATTTTCCTGAAGTTTCCTAGTTGTTCCTTCCTTTTAAAGTTATTATTCTAAGTGTTGCCAAAATTCTGTTGAAAACAGGGTCTGCATCCCTATTTATGACACAAAAGATGCTGCAAATCTCAACAACCAATCAGAAATGACCATAATGGACTATCCTTTAACTAGGTTGTGTGAGATTTAGCATAATTACTAAATTAACATATATTTGCAAACAAAAATGTATTTTTTAATATAACAATATGTATTTACAACAAACAAATACAAAACAAAGTGATAATGAACATAATGAAATCAATAAACAATAAAACATTGACTGATTGTTTGCATAAATTCCCTACAAATAATGGAACAAACTTTGGGTTGGTCTAAGTGGTCTAAAAGAGGTTATTCAGGTTTAATTAGTCAAATCTATAAATAGAACTCTATAATTATCACTCTTAAAATGACAAATATATAATCAAAATATACTAAAGAATTAACTTATCTTATTTCTAATACTAAAGTTCTAATAACTAATGATTAAAGTAAGTAAAATGTGCAAAACAAAAGTGATACATGATTCATCCCTAATTCTATAAATAGAATAGCCCTGGAACTTTTGAGAAAGTAGTCCCCAAAAAGTAGTTCCCTTAGAATGTGTTCAAAACTCAATATTATTTACATAAAATACAGAATTATTAAAGATACATAATATTTATACTGTGAATAATAAAAACACAAAGAAAATCATCATTAGAATACTTGTATACTTGTTAAAATGATTAAAATAAATAGCCCTTATTTAGCTAAACAAGAGTGATCTCCCTTTCCTAGTTGTCAAGGGAACCTGTAAGACTTAATCATGATTATCTCCCTTGATCATAATTAGATATCTACTAGTGATTGATTAAAAATAAATGAACAATGATGTAACTTTAAATTACAAAATATGACATAATATTTACATAATGCAGCATAATCAAATGAATAGATTCCTAACTTTACCACAAAGCTCCCCCTTAA